AGAAAAATTAAAAGCTCTTTCTACTATTTGATATTTTTGGCATTATCTATTTCTGGACATCACCTATCTATACATATTTTTTAAGTCAAAAGAACAATTTTACAAACACTGTTTTTAATTTAAATAGCAAACATTTTTCACATCAATATAATCTTTGTTTTACTGAGTTGTTCTGTGTGAAGGGTTCATACAACTAATACCTCAGCATACATGTGGGCAATTCCCATATCATTGTTAATAATAGCAAAAGATGAAAAGTTTGGCTTTTACCATATAAATATACCCAATGATTTTCATTCATCTTGTAACCCTATAAAAACCTTACCACTACTGGCCTGTAAAAATGGGGATCATGCTGTTTTCTGATCTACTTTATGTTCTAACTGGAGCTTAATATATACTAATTTGTCTCCATGATAATTACTTTTGCAACACTTCTAATTTTTTGGTTTTCTTTTGCAGGACTAGGGACTTTGAAAGCAGGTGCTCTACAACTTGAGCCACACCTCCAGTCCATTTTGTTCTGGTTATTTTGGAGACGGGGGTATTGCAAACTCTTTGCACCAGCTGGCCTCAAACTGCAATCCTTCAGCTCTTAGCCTCCCAAGTAGTTAGGATTGCAGGCATGAGCCATTGGCACTGGGTTATCTCTTGTTATCTTAATAGCGGAAAGTCTTACTTGATTTCTACTGTGGTTTGGATGTTATCCCCAAAAGCTCGTAAGTTTGAAAGCCCCCAGCTGATGGTGTTATTGGGAGGCAGTGGAAACTGTAGGAGGCAATGGGATGAAGTAAATCATTGGGGGCATGCTCTTAAAGGGAATACCCTAACCCCTTTGTCTTCTCTTTGTTCCATCACACACTGCTCATCATGATGTTCTGCCTTGTCACAAGCCTACAAGCAATGAAATCAGCTAACCATGGACTGAAACTTCTGGACCATCAGCAAAAGTTAACTTTTTCTCATTTAAGTTGCTTTATCATAGGTATTTTGTCACAGTGAAGGAAAGCTAACACAATCTCCTACCTGTAGCTATAAAACCTTAAATGTACTCTTCCACCACTGCTGACCAGTTATTTATGGAGGTATAGAATGTACCCAAACCTTAAGATCTTTCAAATCATTTCTTTGCTCTATGAGTGGTACACTGATGTTTTCCAGACATGATCTACATGCTGTATAAAGTAGTGGCTTCGCTCACCAATTTGGGTGCTATCCAGCATTCTGAAGGTATCCTTATATTGAAGTCGTAAGAAACTGAAAGGTCTGAGGGGCATTTTACTTATGTGTCATTCTTGGTTATAGTCTTCAACATTACAACACAAGTGTCAACTGAACTACCAACTGGCTTTTTATTACAGTGTAAGAATCTTAAAACAAAGACCTGGTGGCTCATGCCTATAATCCTAGCTACTCAGGAGGCAGAGACCAGGAGGATTGCAGTTCAAAGCCCACCTGAGCAAATAGTCCGCGAGACACTATCTCAAAAAAAAAAAAAAAAAACACATCACAAAAAAAGACTGGTGGAGTGGCTCAGGTGTAGGCCCTGATTTCAAGCCTCAGCACCACCAAAATAAATAAATAAATAAATAAATAAAGTGTAAGAATCTTCTCTTGATCAACTACAAAAAATAACATACCAGATATATTTCAGAAGTATTTATTACCATGACTTACTAGTAAGTCACACTTATTATAAGAGGAGGATTACTTGAGACACACATAGTTACTCCATTCTAGAAACAGATTTAAAATCAATGAGTCCCTAAAAACCCACAGAGAGTTTTGCTGGGCTGGCTCTCTGTGGTATTTTAATCCTGAACAGAGAGCTGCAGCCTCACCATACTTTACTCTCTCTACTGTAAATTACTGTGTTATACTTTTAAATCTTATATTCTCCTACACTAAGGATCACTCTTAGGAAAGTCACTATTGAAATCTCCATTAGACAAGAATTCAATTTAGAAAACATTCAAAGGGCATCTATCATATATCATTTATTTAGTAGATGCTGGAGATATAAATAAAAATACTGCCTAGTAGTCCCTGCTTTCAAGAAACCTAAGAATACTGAGAATATCTGCTCTTCCTCTGAGGCCTTACTATTAGGTACTAACTCTACTTTCCTAGAACATCTGCTAATTTTTTAACTTGTAGGCAGTGTTTGTAAAGAAGTTCCAGAATCAATTCTGCCTCCTGTATGTAGAAAAAATTATGAAACATTATGAAGTACATTTCATATCAACCTTACCCAGTGTTATATTACTTTTTCTATTCATTTTTATTTCACTGATTTAAAACTGAATATATTACGTATGTTGTAAGGAACTCAAATACACTTTGAATATGACATGAGTAACGTAAGTAAAATAATAACTCAGATCATATTCTTCACTTCATAAGTATTATTTCTCTGTTATATAAATATACCCTAGAATTATGCTGCTTAACCAGAGTTATACCTCAGAATTATCTGAAGACCTTTTAACAAATATATAGCCTGAATCCGTTCTCCCTTGATTTTGATTCCAGTAAATGCGTTGTTTGTACTGAGAGAAAAATCCAGCTGGAAAATCTAATGTGTATACTCAAACAGAATCCTTGGTCAGAAATCTAAACAGAAGTAGTCAGGTAAGTTTTGCTTTGCAATAAAAAGGTTTAGGGAAGTAGCATAAAATGGATCAAGTAATTCTTTCCCATTACTCAATACTCATTTCAGCTTCAGTAGACAATGATTATTGGAGAATTAAAGTTGATAGACTTATTAGTCACAGGTTACCAGAAGACAAATATTATCTTGATTAATATTGTATATATTAATATTCATATTTGCAATGTCAGTAGAAAGAGGACTTTACTTGGTTCCTATGTTACTCCTGTATTGAGAAGACTTTGCAGGGAGGAGAAGAAAATCGCACGATTTGCTTGTATTACTTTTACTAGTCACTCGTTAATTCTTGGGCACACTGGTGAGTCTTAAATACATGTTTTCTTTGACATGCTGGCAGTATTACACTAAACTAAGCAAATCATTTACTATAGAGAAAGAAGAAGAAGACAGCCTAGGCATTTCAAAACCATTTTTCTACTAATGACTTATTTCTTAAGACAGGGTTTTTAATGAAATATCAGCTTTATTCAATTGTGATATGTCAAACTCTCCTGCAACAAAGAATAAGTTAATATGGTATCAAAGGTAATATAGTAATAGGAATGAATCTTTTAAACAACATCATTCTCGAAATTTATAGACTTGGCACATTCTGTTTGTACTAAATCAAACATATCTATTTCCTATAGAGGATACAATACTTCCTGTTTTAGTATTGCCACTGTTTTCTAAATATTCAGTCTGGAAGATACTCATTATAACAGTTTTATGTTAACTGAGTATTCCTATTCTTTTTGTTCAGCTAATTTGGCTCTTCTCAGAAACACGGCTGCATACTCCAAGTTTAATTTATACAATAAAAAGAGACATAAAAATATATGCTCAATTATTACTGAATTTTAAAAATTACAAACAGTATGTGGCATATATGGTGGGAAGTACTGATCATGAAATAGGGCTGTGGGAAACTACGAACATGGTCTTCGTATATAAAGAGAAAAAATAAGATGAACATACTAAGTGAGGTAAGGCTAGTTCTTATCAAAAAGGAACATTAATGGAGAATATATTAGTGTGACTTAGTAGAAATAAAATATATCTTGTCCTAAATTTAGAGAATTTTATAAGAAATAGGCAAGATGAAGAGGAAGCTGTACAGAATTTCATATTTTGTTACCATAAAATATATGTGAACCAAGAACAGAATTGGAGCTTGGTCAATGAACTGAAAGGTTCTCCATGTCTGAGTGCTCAAGACTACTACCACTTAAGTCAGTTATGCAGCCCTTCCCTCTTACTAATAAGAACAATTAAAGTTAACATTAACTGTTAGAGAAGAGTAACACAGCAGCTTCATCTTGGGTAAATTCCAGGAAGTGGTTTGTAAAAGGTATGTACAGAAAACTATGGATGAAATCAAACCATCAAGAAACTGAACTGGCTTAAAAACAACAGAAACTGATTTCAGCCAAGAAATCTCATATCTGCCCAAACTAAAATATTGTGGACCCACAGTCTCACCTGTTCTACATGGTAGCCATGGACATATGGAAGATAGTATAGTCCTGCATAATGGTAGAGGTCACCAGCAAGGACAGTGGTAGTAGTTAGGTATACTATATAATGCTGAGGTATTAAAATGCTGGTGTCTTTGTTGGCATATTATCTTTACCTTGATCTTTTAAAAATCCTGAATTATTTGCCTCTTAAGATCAAAATCAATGAATCAACAATTCAATTTATATAAAAAGTAACAATACTATATGTGGCATTTTATGTTTTCAACTGAAGGAATTCTGCCTAACATTCAAAATGATACTGCATCGAAATCTCTTGGTAAAAGATGAGGTTAAATAAAAACCTAAAATGCTTCCTTCAAAAAAAAAAAGCTGGCAGAGTGGCTCAAGTGGTAGAGCACCTCCCTGCCAAATATGAGGCTCTGAGTTCAAACCCCAGTACTGCCCACTCCCCCCAAAAAAGACATGCAGATCTTACAAAACAAAAAGTTATTTAAAAAAAATTATTCACTCGGAATTACAAAAAGAGAGGTAGGAATATGAGGAGGAAAGATCTACATTTAATTTATATCTTCTCATTTCTACAATTGGTACAGAAAATTTACAGTCCTTTTTACAGGAAGTATGCTGCCCTGAAAGATATTTGCAACTCCATAATGATGAAATTAATCTTTAGAAAGAGATCAAAAGACATTCTTTCAATTTTGCTAGAAATTTTGTCTTCATTTTAATGTAGTGTTTACTTTGAATATTTTATTACGCTTATCAGCTAATATTGAGAATGTCTTTTTTTTCTAAAGCCTACAGCACTCACTATTCCCATGTGGTCTCCCATCCAAGTACTAACCAAGCAAAACCCTGCTTAGCTTCCAAGATCAGACAAGATCAGCTGCACTCAGAGTGGTATGGCTGTAGGTGACAATGTCATTTTTTAATATTTATGTTTTTATACACTTCTTTGCTTTATACATCTACATAGTATTTTTTCTTGGAATATTAAGAATTTAGTTTTGGGTAACCTGTTTTTAATTTGAAGAATTTTTTTAAAATAAAATACCCTATATTAATGGTGCTATATTAGTATTACATAAAATATAGATGGATATACCAACAGTTATTATTTTTCTAAAATCAGAGGTTAATAGATCTCATTATTTTGACAAATTTATTTGGTGGCTTGCTGATTTCACAAGAAGAGAACAGCTTATGCAAAGTAGGCAGAGCACAGTCAGAATCACAGCAATTACCTTGAAGAAGTTTACATGTATACAGTGTTATTGAATAGAGAGGTAACAAAGCTATTAAGCTTGTAGTTATTGTTGAGTGCTACAATTTCAGATGGCATCTATTGGCTTCTTCATACTTTGACACAGTGAAGATTTGAGATTTGTTCTTTCAATGAACATATTTTTTAATAACACAATGAGTACAATTTATTGACCATATAAGACCACATAATACAACTTGATGAAAATTCACAAACCTGTTCTAGAAGACTCAGACTCTCTTAGTTTCTGAGATGCTAAAAGCTTTTCCTGCAAAGCTTTCTGGGCAAGTTGTGCATCCCACTCTTCTAGTTCTTTTTCAAATCGTTGGTTGTCTTCTTCAACAAAATCCCTCAAATCTGGTGGCAATGTTTCTATTCCAACAAGGGCTTGCCCAGTTTCCTTATTAAACTCCTCTGAAAATCACATTTCAAAAAGTAGTGTAAAATTAGGAAAAATACAAAGCTCAAAATAGAATGTATCGCAAATGGGACATAAACAATGCACTATTAATGTACAGCAAACCAAAATTACAAATGTTTTAAAACTAACAAACATTCAGAAAAACAATGAAAAAAAATATTTGCTAAGCCACTACAAGGTAATTTAGTCACTCAGTTTTAATCTGAACAGTAAAAATGAGACACAATATAACTAAAGAAATTTCAGTGCTTTAACAATGATGAAATACTACTTTTGTTATTATGAGAAAATGCTAAATGTTAGCTTAATCATGAAGTAAAACTTTTCACAAAAGAAGTGACTCATATGTAAGAAGTAACAAGAGCCTTATTAAGCTTGAAACTGAACCAAAAATTTTTTTCACTTAAAAGTGGTTAAGTATAGCCATAAAAATAAATATGGAATTATGAAACTAATCAATTTGCAATGTTTTAAAATATTACATAAATATTATTTAAAAGTCAACTTCTACTACACACAAATAAACTTTACCTTTTCAGTTATAACTGGGCTGCTTACTTTTGCTAAATGGTTAAATATAAATTGCAATTTTATCACTTTCAACAAATCCTTATGAAGTATTTTGTGTGTAAACCCCATATATTAGAATAACAGAAATAAACAGAGTACAGCATGGTGTGCCATGGACTTTGGTTTTGAGCAGAAATAAAGTAAATTGTGCAAGACATATCAACATGCAATTAAAACACACACCAATACATGTCCAAAAGAAGTATGGTATGAGAGCACAGGAGAGATTCTTTCTAGCAGTTTAATAAACACACTGCAGAGGAGATGACACTTGAACTGAGTGACAGATGAGCAGAAATTAGGCAGGATGGCGGGGGAGGAAGGAAGGGAGGGCGCAAGAGAGGGATGGAAATATGAGGAAATTCACTGCTATAAAATAAAATAAAACATTTAACAACATGGAGATACAAAAGTAAAGTGGTTTGACGTGAGCAGAATACAGGGAGTTTATACACCAGTAAAGTCTATAAAGTTCAAAACAAACAATGGTGATAAATGAAGCTGGAAGGATGGTCAGAGATCAGAAAACAGAGGCCTCCATGCTAACCTAAAGAGTTCAAATATGAGTCACTGTACAGATGTAAGCATTAAAGGTTTTTAGCAAAGAGAACAAAAGTTTAGATGTACATTTAATAGTTAACTGAATAAAAAATATCTGCCAATTCTCAGCTTTGGTCACATCATTTTTCAAATCCAGTTTTCTCACTTGCAAAAACTCAGTAGGTGGAAGAGGCACTATTTCTCGCCCCTGGTTGTTACCAAACCTAACTGGGCTTAACTGGGGGCAATTGGAAATTCAGAAAAGACACAGAATAGACAGACAGACAGGAAATGGGGTCAGGTGTGTTGAGAACTCGGGTGGAGATGCCCAACCCTCACTACTTCTTTTCTCTATCTTTTTTCTTTAAGGTCTTCCTCTTTTGCAATTCTTTAAAACCTTGTTTAAAACCTCTTTCCTTGTACTCACTCTATCCCATGTTTTCCCAGCTTATCTTTAGCCTAATCACTCTTAAAGTCTTTTGTCCCCAGACTTGCACTGTCCCATCTTTCTTTAGCTTTCTTAAAGCCTTGATGTTCAGACTTGTAAACAACAGCAGCCGCTTATCCTTAGACTTGCACTGTGCACTGTCGCATGTTCTCTTTGGCTTTTCTTTAGCTTAGCTTTTCTAAGGCCTATGCATAAAGTTCTTTCTTTAGCTTAGCTTTTCTAGGGCCTATGTTAAAGTTTTCGGTGCAGACTTGGTTGCTCTTTAGCCTTTCCCTTTTAACAATCTTTTTCCCTTCAGCAATCTTTTTCCTTCCAAAAGCTTCCCACACCAAAAGCCCAAAGCCAAAGCCCAAAGAAAAACATCCAAGCCAAAAATCCAAAGGCAAAAATCCCCAAACAACCCCTGTCCTCCTTCAGCAGTTCTTTTATAAACAGCAACAGCAAACAGGGTGGAACAGAGGCTCTGAGGGAGGGGCGTGACACTGTAACAGAGAAACCTGTGTTCTTGCTTCTCTGAACTCAAGCTTAGGAGATGCTGCTGTTCTGCTTTTTTCTGTTTCGTGGCTGTGACTGTGCCTATCTTGGCCTACAGGTAAAAGAAATTAAGCTGCATCTCACCTTACTTATGTTCATTTCTCAAAGGCTTTTCAAAATCTGCTCTCCACAAGTAAGTACTACCTAATCATAGCCATCACAAAGAGTGAATTACACTTAACGCACTGCACTGAACAACAAAGTCACATAAAAGTACGACTTAAAATATATACCATTCTATGTATTTCATAGTCTTACCTTGTATTAAGAATTGTGCCTTATCATTTATGTACATTAAACAGTATGCACTGGCATTTCTATAACCACCAAAAGAGTCCCTCACTAGTTCTTCCCATGATGATTTTGTCACAGCAATATCATTGTACTTCATCCACCTGCTTTCACGATGATCAAAAATGTATGCCCAGTAGTGCCCAGCATTGGCTTGGCCTTCGTGAACTAAGATGGCATGCAAGCGGTAAGGAACCTAAATGAGGAAACAAAAAGGAGTGAAACTGCAGTTATGTGTGTACTACGCCACAGCACAAGAAGTTTACAAGGTACCCATTTGATGGAAAACATGGAAGCACATTTTTTTAAATAGAATAAAAGTGGCTGACATTAAACTTTTGGAAAAAAAATATATTAGAGCACAAAATTTTAAAAAGAGCCAAGTTTAATAAGCTGAAGAAATGTAAGTAGTTCTGTAAGTAAGACGGTGATTTTCAAAACTGAAAATATATTTGCTGTGTATATATTTTTGTTGACCTACTTACTTATTATAAATAAAGTACTTAGCTCAATAGTTTTATATACAACACATGATTTGTCTAAATCTACAAAGTTTTAATTAGTGGCTAACCAAGTGGATTACATAATACATACCAGAAATTAAAATGTAATTAGCCTTAGAGTTTCTTCCCAAATCTTGTATCTTTATAAAACCATATATTGTCTTCCATAGACTTAAAAAAATTAAGACCTTTAAAAACTTTTTGATAAATTTTATATAATTATAAATACAGTAAGCAATAGGTACCTAAGGGACATACAACTGAATGGCAAAAGTTTTATGGGAAATTTACTTGAATGCTGTACCTACTGCTTACTTTTTGTTTTTATAATATAATTTATTCAAATTTTATAACAAAACATGTCACAAAGAATTCGGTAAAGATAAATAATATAATGGCAAATTAAAGTATATGCAACTAATAATGTCAGTAAGTATTAGCTCAAAATTTCACTTACTTGGATCATGGATTTGTCAGAGTACATTAATTCAATTGTTCGGTGGATTCTGGATATGCTTTCCTGCAAATCTATAGGTACAAGATGTCATTTAATGATCAATATCAAGTATGTTTCTACTGATATTTAGGCATGGGCTGAGGTTTTCTTATAATTATATTAAAGGAATAAGGAAAATTTCCTACAAATGTTCATAAAACATTACTACTTGGAGTCCATGTAAAATAAGATATAGTTCTCCTTAATAAAAGAGACAGCAAAAATGTGTAGCTAAAACAGGGTTGAAGGAGATGAAAAAACTATCCTAACAAAACCTCCTTTCCTGACCCACAGTATTACAAAGCCTTATGACAAGAATGTCATCCTTCAAGCAACTCAAACCTGAACTGGTAAAACTGTGAACTTGTGTTCGTTCTCTTCTGAGGTAGAGATCACCTTGCCCACCAGTTTGCCTTTATCTAAAGTATATTCTATTTAGTTATTTATATGATTACAAACTAAGAGAATCTTCCTTCATTTCTCTCTTTCACCTCTAGTTAATGGCCTGCATGTGTCAGTTGTCTCAAAAGAGTATTTCAAGTACATCCATTTCTTTTCTCCCTCAATGACATTTATCTTGGTTTCAAAATCTTCCTAACTCCACCCTCTGCTTACAATCTCATAAAAATAATCTGCCTTGTGAAGTAGAAAAGTATCCAACACTTAATACAGTGTTCAGGAAATACTATGCACTTAATTAATGTGTGGTAACAAAGTCAAGGACTTAAAAATTCCCTTAGGTATGAAACATATTAAGGAAAATCTTTACAATTACAATGCTAACTGCTATTTCCCATTATTTATACTCTATTAAATTAGGACTGCTCTTTATTCACATATTGTCTATAAGAATTCAAGCTGGTTATTTAAAATCCAACAACCAATGTTGTTCAATATAATCCCTTTCTTGTAATATGAAATAGTAGTCCTATGCTCTTCTTTTTCTGATAATTAATAAAATTAGTGTAGTACTGGGGGAATCATAGTAGGGTATTATATTTTCATACAAAAGAAATATAATGAACAAAATCTATCATGCAATATTAACATTATCATTTCATTAAAAATAAAAAGCACATTTTAACAGAAAAATAGGAAAGCTGTAAGATGACATCCAAAAATTTGTTAGAGTAGATTCCAAATGAAGATTCACATTCCTAAATCTTAAGCCTAAAAAAAAATTATTACTTGAACTTCTTCATTCTACAAATATCAGGTGAAGTACAAAATTGATATGTACAAACTATGATGTTGTATGACATTTCAACCATGGAGTAGCTGTGAATACCACTTTGATATAAATTTAGCACACTAAACCACAAAATCAGACCATCTGCTATGTCATTAATCAGCTACATAATCTGGGGAAACTCTTTGGGTCCCTGTGGATCCAAAAAATGGGAATCAGACTAGCTTAATAAGATCTTTTCTAGAAAGAAAAATAACTATATTTTAAATATGAAATCCAGAAGTAATTTTGCTTCTCAATTTTAACATACACATCCATCTGAAATGACAGTAGTTACACTATGAGAAGCTTACCTCTTGTGTCATTTTCTATTTCTGTCCTCCAGCGATGTAAACAGCTTTCGAGAACAGAAAGTTCTTCTTCTGTTATGTGCCTTGGTGCTGGATGCATGGGTAAATCTGGAGGTATCCGAGACTGTGTGAAAGGTTTGTGTATCACTGACCTTGATGAAATGGCAGCAACTGATGCAGGTGATGTGCTGGGCAGTTCTGAAGAAGGAGCACCCTGCTGCTCTGTTGTGCTGTGTTTTCAAAGCATAGAATGTTTGTTATTAAACCTTTAAACCAAAGTGCTGGCACTTAGTTCACTTATATTTCAAATTGATCTAATATTTTGAGATACTTAATATGAGAGGATTAAATTATTATAGGGATGAGGTTTTAATTTTAGATTAAAAATGGTTTAGTCATTTATTTTTTAAAAAGCCAGCAAATCTAATGTATGGTGAAATTATAAAGATTTTCCTTTGTTAGTATTTACCAATTTACATTACAGAAGTAAATTCTAATTTAAAAGTATCACTTTCATGGATTATAAAGATTGAAACATATATAATTATATGCCAAATAATTTGAAATATAATTCTGAATAGGAAAACATGAAAATTTCAATCCATAACCATAAAATCTACTGACATAGGAAATACGAATGCTCTCAGAAGACAAAAAGTCCTCTAAATGAGTCTACTCTTTTGGATAATTCATTAAAAGGAACCACAGTTCTCATTTTATAAAACCTTGTTTAAAGGCATCAATTATATTGCTATATAATAGAGGAACACAGCTCTCTCCTGCATGAAGACAACTTTACCTTGGTAAGGGCTGTGATGGTATGGAACCACTAGGTGGGGAACTGGCATCGATATCATCAATAGGAGAAGTGCAAACAGGTTTACTTGAGGCAAATTCCAATGCATACTGCAGAACATCTACCAAGGGGAATCGTTTGGGACCAGAGCCATAGCTTAAATATCTGTCAACAGTAAAATACACAAATGCTTTTTTTATGTACATATTTGCTTTTAAATAATTACTGAAACCATGATACAACACTTTAGTAACTTTTCCCCAACAATAAAATACACTTGCTTTCAAATGAAGACAGTAAAACTGAATATACATGTAGGAAAGTATCTCACTGCTCCTTTATAGGAATAAAAATTTTGAAATAAGGTATGTTGGCTTTGTATAAAAAGTTTTAGGCTATTAGTGTGTAAATTAAAACTAAAATAAGGAAATACAGATTAAGTTAGAGTTTGCAAATTCAGATCCATCAGGCCACCTTTCAGCCTGAATACTTTTGTCTGACTTGTATCACACTGCACAGTCTAGATTCTGGTTGCTTTAAGAAATAATGCAAAGCTCTAGACAATAAGGAGACCACATGCAGACATCTTCCTCCATCCCTAGTACTGGATGGCATGCACATTCAGTTATACTCAAATGTGCTATCTAGGTTCCCCTCACCCCCCACCCCATGTTATTCTCCACCTGGCTCCCTCCTTTTATGAAGCTATTGTGAGGACCTGGTAGTAACTCAGGTTTGTATCCTATGTATTAAGGAGAAAAACTCAGCTACCCTTCATTGTACTAGAAAGCTCAAGGGTAACATTTAATCTGATTCTCAATACTAGACTCATATTTATTTCTGTTTTCAGCAACATGAGCATTGCCTGTTGACAAGGAAATACTTAAATGCTAAAATTATCTTTATAGACAACTCTAGATTATTTCCAGTTCCTAATGAAACTCAAAACTATTCCAGCAAAATATCAATCCAGAATAATTATCTATTCTTACAATTTTAAGTCACTCAAGGCAAATTTAAAACTAAAAATCTAGTCAGTCATCAAATACATGATTTCCTATAGTTATCATTTCATAAAAGGTAATACCTTTCTAATCTTTGTTGTAATACTGTGAGGTAATCTTTAAGTCTCTTGATCTCTTCCCGCTTAATTCTTGTTATTTCTCGGTTTCTGTGCATATATCTATCAAACAAAAAAAAAATAAATAAAGTAGCAATCATCAGTATTTCCAAATATTTTTGATGTAGATACAAGGCTAAGTCTAGCCCTTACCTAAACAGATCAATTCATTTTAAATAATACAAAATAGTGTTTTTATAAGATTCTAACAGAATTAGATCACAAAAATAATTTTTAACTTCCATATACCATTAATAGCATTACTCTCAGTACCCATACTTTTCTAATACAAAATAATTTCATTTTCCTTGGTAAATAATATTAGGTATATCCTGCAAAAGTAAAGATTAGTTCTCAGAAAATTGAGCAAAATTTTCCTTTAAACACAGTAATTCTTCACTTACTTACTCCACTGTTGCAAAACTAAGTTATGCTGTACACTAAAACATACCTGTCCAAATATAAAACTTGGGGAAATTCTAATTTGTTGTGAATTTTTTCTGGCCTTCCTAATGCCTGATTAAATTCAAATCTTGACAATTCAAATGTTAGCACAGGTGGTAGTTCAGTAAACCAATGCTGAAAGAAAAAAGAAAAAGAAAAACTTAATATACCTTTCAATTTTCACCACTGCAATTTTAAACACAGAATGTTGACACTGCATTTTTATACACAACACCACAATTCTGTCATCACAAAGAACTGGGTACATAATTTAGATAAAACTTAACTTTTTTCAGAAAGTATTCCAAGCCTTTTGAAAGTTCCAAGAGTGAATATAACACATAATGAGGAAAGAAAAAACTGTCCTTTGTTGATGGTAATTGCTTACATTAGAAAGTCTATCCAAAAAAAGACACTCGTTAAAATCAAGGCTTAGCAATTCAAGTCTTCTGTCTTCTTCACTATTATGCTGCATGTCAGTTATACTTATCACACTGTAAAAATCCTATGACAAAATAACCTGGTAAGATGTAATATTTAATGGACAAAATTTTATGGCATAAATGATTATTCTCATACTAACTTTAATCTTCCTATTGGAACTTACACTAATTTATGAAAAAGATCAATCACTAATAAATATAAGGTTTATGGTTGCAATAGTACGTTATATCTTCAAGTACTATACAGAATTAAATGTTTTGTATAGAAGGAGCTAAAGAATGGTAATGAATTTAGTTATAATTTCTGACCTCCCACACAATTTGGTAGCTGTTCATTGAAGCATGAAATTCAGCAAAGCTTCAAAAGATAATTATTTTCCTATAACAAGCTCCAGGTTTTACGATACATTTTAAGAACCTTTGTAAATATTCCAATGTACTGTCACCCAGCACAATAAAAAAAATTATAAAACATATAAACAATGCTTTATTAAGAACAGAAAAATTTAAAACTTGTAAATCAACAAATACAGAAATAGAAAATAATGTATCTGATATTTTGAAGTACTTAATTTTAAAAGCCATGCAATGTGCTTCTGTAAAAAGAAACTGCTGCTGCATATACTTTACTATCCGTGATAATTTCAAGTGCCATAAAATGTTACCACAACTGTCAATAAGTTAAGACTACACTAATTTAAATTTGAACATCTCATAAAAGCAGAAAGAAAGCACACCTGGTAAACTGAAATAGAATAGGATCTTGAAACTAGCTACTTTTTTCAAATAAAGCTAATAAAAGTAAGTGGTTATTCAGTATTTTTCTCTCTCCCAAATACTAATGATTATCTAAACCAAGATTTCCTGAGTTGAATATGGGTAAGTTTCTTCTGAGTTAAGATTTAAGGAAGTTGTTTTAAAAGAATATTACCTAAAATGGACTAGATAATGTTATGAAAGATCTAGTATAACAACCATCTCAAATTTTAAATTTTGACAAAAAGAATTCATTTATTTTGATCTCACATGGCACTGGCAGGAATTTGAATTACTTCTAACCTACATCTAAAATTACTGTTAAAAATTAAAGTACGTCCAGGCATAGCGCTACACACCTGTAATCTCAACAATTAGGAGGCTGAGGCAGGATCTGGAGTTTGAGACCAGCATGGTCTACACAGTGAGTTCACGGCCAGCCTGGCCACATAGTGAGACCCTGTCTCAAAAATAAATAAATAAATAAAAAATTAAAACATCACTCCACATCTCATAAATAAAACTTCCGATTCCTTAGGATAACATGACATACTCCATTTTATGATATACAAACAAATGCATTTGAAGAACTGTTCTTTCCATATATTAATGCAGTATTTAAAATAGTTATGTATTTTAATTCATGGGAATATACGATGCCTAACAGAAATGAAGTAAACCAAACTATGGTGTGCTCTTCTGTAGACTGTGAAAAGTTCAGGAAACATAAGCAACTTTCAAAAATTATTGTAACATATGTCTGTGTTATGAATGCACTTTCTGTCACAGTGGTAGGTTTTTCCTATTATAAGAAATGAAAGGATTTCATAAAATATTCTAAAACTCATGGGGACATGATGAGATAACCAGATATTCCCTAAATTCATTTAAAAAATCATTAATAGTATATCTAGCTCTGCAGTACTAGGATTTAAAATAGAGCAATATATAATTACAATTTTATATAACACAAAGTATAAGAATTTTTTTTCAAAAATTTTTCTTTCATTTAGGCAAAAATTACATTTACTTATCTATATTCTAACAGATACTGCATGCTAGAGGTCAGTACAGGTAAAACAGATGCTATCTCTAAGCACATTATCATTAATATTACAGTATATGACTGAAAAGGAGAAATACAGTTAGGCAGTTAGTGAACTTATGTAATTTCTAATTTATATAATCACTTCTGGCAGCACACATGCTCTTAAATTTGTCACAACTCTGTAAGACAATTTCTACAAATAACGTAGTATTTTTATGATAGCTGGTTCTTCTATGAAAATACCTTGCTTTTGTGAGATTATACACATATAGGGGGAAAAAAGGAAAAACAAAAAAACAAAAAAAATACCATAACTACATTTTCAAATTCTCCACAAAGTACCAAACAAACCAAGCTAGAATGTAAATTAAGTACAAGAAGCACTTTTGGACTCCGATAGAAAAATTAGTAAGTCACTTAATGGACTTCATTCATTTGCCCTTTTATTTTTAATAGAAGATAAATTTCCCATATGACATCTACACATAAATAACACGGCACATGTTGATATTGTTTTTTTCTCTCTCTTCTCTCCCCCACACCTCTTTTGTCTCCTCCTTCTTCTCTCCCTCTCATCTTTCTCTTCCCAGAACTGAGAATCAAACCCAGGTCCTCACACATTTGGTAAGTTAGCTATAACTGAATCACATCCCCAAGTTCTAAGTGAAAGTTGTATAAATCTTCTAGTACTCTAATACAGCTAGGTGCAACTGTGTGAAGGGAAATGTGGCAGCTATTTACATTTTTAAATGCAAATGCCCTGATCCAACGAATTCACTTCTAACTATCCTTCCTAGGGGTATTTGTAGAAAGAGATTCTTCAAAGTAATGCTTTGTCTACTGTCTTATAGGATAACTATCCGTTTAGTTTTATGATTAGATTACATGATACTGCACAGGTCTTAAAAATTTTATTCCAAACTGCAAAGAAGTCTGCTTATGATATATTGCTGAGTAAAAAGTACAAGTCTCAGAACAGATACAAATACTTATATATGCATAGTGGTAGGCTAAAAGAATGTATGACACATTAAGAAAAAATACTCATACCAGAAGCATTTACTATTTGAAGCTTTTTCCTCGAATAGTTAATCAAAAATATCTCCAAGTTTCTTGGACAGTCAGAATCATAGACCCTTTACTTAAAATTTAAATTTTTTGTTGTTTAATAATTTTTAGTGGTACTGGCATTTGATCTTAAGGTCTCCCACTTGAGCTATGCTCCCAAGCCCTAAAATTATCATTCAAAAATATTTTATGAGTATAGTCGACTGCCATATAAGCATGTTTCAGTCAATAATGGACCGCATATATGATAGTGTATAAAAGTATAACTGAACTGAAAAATTCCTACGGCCTAGTGACATACCAGCAAAAAGCATTACTGCTACATTTGTAGGATGCTTGTATAGACAAACCTGCACAGCAAGTCAAATAGAACTATAGCATACATAGTTATACACAACACACAGTACTTGATGAGTATATAACTGGCTTACGTAAGTGTTATGAGTATATAACTGACTTATATATCATTGTTTTTATCATTACTTTAGCATATACTCCTTCTACCTACAAAAAAGAAAAGTTTACTGTAAAACAGGAAGCTACGTTACACCAGCAGCAATCTCTCATCTCATGTAAACTGTGCCTCTTGACTACCTCAAGAGGTCATGACAAGTGACTGACCTATACATGTGGATTTGTATAAGTATCCTGTATGATATTCACATTAAAATTGTCTCCATAGCAAGCAATCCATGGTAGTCATATTGAGTGTAATCATTTTAAATTCATTTGTTGATTAGTTATTTCAGAAATTTAAATTCTTGCAGTCCAATGAATGTTTTAATTTGAGCAATTCTGGACGCCAAAGGTTTTCCTCTATTGACCACAGTTCTTTCAGGAAGAGATGGTTTTTGTGTCAAAATAAAATCAACAATATTTAATAAATAATATTGAGAAAAGGTTTTATCAATAGCGCTTATACCAACTTAGAAATAACATAAAATGTTTCTTTTTGGTCTTTAGAGAAGATCAATCAGGCTCAAGAATAAACAAAACACTTATTCTGAAGGACATAATGAAGTGAGACTATTATCTAAGTGTTTTGAATACCTTACTCAACTCTAGACAGTGATAGCCTCCTAAAAGAGGTAGAACTGCTATTAAAATGACCATTTCTAGCAAATCTAGACAATGGGTAACAGAGAATTACAGGTAATCAAATTTGTTGTTATTGAGGTTGTCTAGAAAGTGCTGATTCAGAGAAAATGATAAACCATTTTTTTGTTGCATTACATGGAAAAGACCAGGCAGAAAATATATAAAAAGCCATAGGCCATTCAGAATATAAAGCCAATAAAATAGTGGATGACAAAAATAAGATCTGTTGGATGAATAATAAAATTCAAATGATATAATAACAATTTGTTGAAAGTAGGAGAAAAATTATTTACCAGTAGACCACAACATACTTCACTGAAAAGCTACTCTGCCAGTATAAGAAAAAATTCTGTCCCTATTCTCCTGCCCCAAATTCATCATTCGTTTACTCAGCAACAAACAGATAAGATTTTGAGGAATCTGCTTTTTTATTGCATGTGTTACTCTGCAAAAGTCTAAATCTTTTGATCTTTAGAGATCTGTTTCCTAATAATCAATCACAAATAAATCGACTGAATTTATGCATTCTTAACTAAAGGTCCACCTTAGAAACATGTGCAGACCTCCTGCATCCATGTATCCAAGTTTCTTATTTGAGAGCTCTAAAATAGGGCCACGGTATCTACTAAGAGTCACATATGTAGATGATATATGAAGTAGAGAAAAACACTTCCAATACTCCCCCCCAGTTTTTCCACTTCAGAAACCACCAAAAATTTTAATGTTTTAAAATAATTAAACAATTAAAATAATTAGCTAATAATTAATTTTAATAATTAATGTTATTTTAACTAATCTTTTAGTAAGTGTTTTTTGATTTAAATGTTTTTCTTGGTTTGGTAGGGGGGAAGAGAAAGAAGTAAACATGGAGTCAAAATAGGAAATAGTTAATCACAAACTTTTTTAAAAAACTTGCAATTTAGGTATAAATATAACTTATTCTCAAAGTAACTAGAACCCAGTACTTTAAAAACAGGTATTAGCATTCAATATTTATTAGGTACCTGTTTAGTATACAGTCTGTAGTTTTATTAAGCAGTGAGACATTTCATACTTATTACGTAATTCTATCTGTAATCACCACACTATCCATTAGGGATAGAATAACAAATGACACAGATAAAGATCTGCAACTTCCTGCGGATCTAGACATCTACCAGGAATTGCTTCACAACATCTGATCTGGGGTACTTGAGCTACATTTTCTTTTTCATTATAGTGTCAACACTTTCTAACAGGATAAATATATGAATGGATGGATACAAGGATGGTGCTAGAGAGATGCAGAAATACATGAATGGAAAGAAAAAGATCAGTGGAGACAGATATATTAGTTTACATCATTTTCTAAAATTGCCTTTTTCTTGATAAAGTAAGTTCTTCCATGTGATTTTATGCAATCATATAGCAATTTCACAAGAAAAGGAGTGCAGTGTTGTCTACATAGGTCTGGACAAATCCCAATAATACTTGATATAAGTAATATACACCTGAATAAAAATCCACCCTAATATCCATGATTCTTATTTTCACTTCCAGGACCAACAAGCACTTAATGGCTAGTACCTTGACTGGAAATCATAAAACACTAAACAATATTCTAAAGACAGATCTTTACCAAAAGATTTGAGATAAATTGTTTGGATGAGAATTTAACAGTAGAAAATATTGACTGTGCAGGTTTCCCACATACATCCAGGTTAGATTGAATCCAAACATATTTTCAGAGTATTTTTCCAAGTATTAGAAACTGTACAATTAAAACCTTAAATCATGCTGCATGTCACTGGAAGAAAGACCTGACGAGAGAAGAGGATAAGAAAAATGCTAAACTCACCTCTTGGCCTGATTTTCCTGAATTCTCTGAATGTAAAGATTCAATTTCTCCTTCAATCATTGCAGCTTCTAGGCACTCGTGCAGATCTTTGAAACCATTAACCTGAAGTGGGTACTGACCAAACATTTCAGTGTTCTCAAATTTTTTACCTATAAGAAGGGAAAAATAAACTAAATTAACATTCCACCAAACAGCTTTTCTGCTACTAAAAGTAAATGCAAAATATAGATTCTTTCCTAAACCTTAGAACTATTACACTAAATCTATGTTCCAGAGAACAGTGAGTTAGTATAACTTTCCTACTGGTATAGATGTATAAGCCAAGGTACAGCTGTACATTCATACCCAGCCACTGACATTAATTATACACACAAACATACGAATGTAATTATATGCATACACATACATGTGTATTAACTCTTGCAAGAAGCACCTTTTAAGGGCAAGATACCATGTTAAACACTGGGCACATACATAGCAATGAACATGAGAGATATAGTTATGAACTGAAGATATTCAGTCTTGTTTGGAAGGCACTGTATACATTAATTTCACACACATTTATACATCAATATTTCTTTATTATGATATATACTATGAAAGATGTGAAAACATCATATAAAAGGGTAGAAAATCTAGGGTATAAAAGGGAAGATAATCTAGTCTTAGTTGCATGGTAGACCAGAGAAGAGTTGCACGGCAAAGTGACATTAGATTTGAGAGCAAGTAGAAGTTAGCCAGGTCCCAGTGTGAGGGGTTGTAGAATATTCATGACTAAGGAACAGCATGACAAATAATTTGAAGCTTCAATGAATATTATGTATTTAAGGAACAAAACGAAGGTCAGTATAGCTTGGGGGCGGGGGTCCTCAAGATGTAAGAGGTCTTATAGTCCTTTTAAGAACTTTTTTCATTTTATCTGAATATAATGGAAAGCCATTGAACATTTAAATCTAGAAATAATAAAATCAGATTTATTTATAACTCTATGGCTGTGTAAAGTATGTGATAGAATGTTGGGAGACTGATGCATCCATAAATAAAGGTAGAATGGATTAAGGTGTTGATAGGGAAAATATACAAAAACAGATGAAATTACACACACCAGTACATGCACATTTATACAGGACAGAGCACTGACTGGCTTAGATGGGATGGGAAGTGCTACAACAAGGAAGACCTGAAAAATGACATTCAAAGTAGGAGTGGGGGCTCACCACTGTTACTACCAGAAACTTGGGAGGTAGTCCAAGGTCAGTTCCTAGCAAAAACACATACCCTATGCAGAAAATATCTAACATAAAAAAAAAGTCTGGAGGCATGATTCAAATAACAGAGCATCTATCCAGCAAGCATGAGGCCCTGAGTTCAAACTCCACTATCATCAAAAAAGAAAGAAGACAACTTAGATTCCTAGCATGAATAATTGGATTAATTTTTATAGAATTATAAAATCAGCTCCACTGAAGGAAGAGTAGAGGATTTTTGGGGGGGTTAGAGGGAGAATACAGTAGAAATCACTGCTTCAGAATGGCTCATGACATTTCAATTTGAAAAGAATTAAATATATGAATGGATAGCTAGGATTGATAGTCTGGTCTAATGATGTCAATTTCTAGGAAATTGCTGCTTACTGGTAGTAGGAAATCAAGTCAATCTATGAGAGATCTGCTTAGGAAATGAGAGAGGAAGAGAGCCTAAACTGAGTCCCAACGATCTCTTACCTTTAGATGTAAGAAGTGATGGTAATATAACTTCTAAGAAGAACCAGTCGAAGCAGGGGGAAAAAAGCCAAGAAAATATGGTGTCAGATTCCACAGAAGATGGTTTTTAAGGCTAAAATAAGAAAAAGTGAGGAGGAGACGGAGGAAAGAATAGAATCAACAGCCATAAGAGTTCAACATGAAAACTGAAAGGGACCCAATGATTTTGACATGAGGTAGTAAATCAATAACCTTAGAAAGATCCTTTTCAGAGGGATCTTGTGGTCAGAAGCTAAAGCAGAGTGAGTTGAATAAGGGGGGAGTAAGTAGGTGAAGTAAACACCTCTCTCCAAAGGGGCTTAACTCTGAATAGAAATGAAAGAATATACTAAAAAAGGCTGAGGAGGGATTTTTTTTTTAAATATTTAAACATGTGAGACAGCAGACCATGTCTAAATACTGATGAGAAAGACATGAAGAGGAAGAAGCTAAAGACACAGTGGGAAGAGTAAGATAATGAAGTGAGGTCTAAGTAAATACATGAAGAAATAGAATTTTAAGCACATAGATAAATAGATCTTTGATACAAAGATATACAATTCCTTTACTATTTGAAGGGACAAAAATAATATGGTGGAGATAGATATAACCAATTGAGCCCTGAGGTTCACTTATTTGGGGAAGTGTTCTTTAAGAAATATGATATAAAACTGCAAACATAAAATTAGATTCAGAGCCTTAGGGAGGTTCATTAACTTCACAGTAATCCATGAAATTTGAAGTAAGATGTTTCTTGGAAAATAAAGAGACAAAGAAGTTAGATTTAAAATGAGTGGAAAAGATAAAAATATTTATTGCAGAAAATGGAAGAGTATGGTGATTACTTGAAATGAGTATGAATGTCCAGTAGGGTTAAAGGTGTGAGGCAAGCACTGCTAAGTTCTGGATCAAATGCCACTTACCCATGGTCTACATTATCACTGTGAATTCATGACCCATTATAGTTAGTCCATTTGTATCGTAACTTTTACACAGCAACATTCAGGTACTTAATACACACAGAGGGAAGATAAATACCTTATAAGGGTCAAAAAAAAGCCAGGGAGGAGGTACCAGAAGGGAATGGGGGAAAGACAGTTTTAGGCATTTGTAAGATGAACATTTGTACTGATGAACAAGGGAGAAAGTGGAATACAGAAAAGGGAGGTCAATGGACAAAAAGCTCTGAAAATGCTGAGGATGTTTTGCAATACGTTTAACAAACATACTGAAAGTATTCCCCAAGGAGAACTTCTGGACTAAAAGAAAGCATTAGGAAGATATACATAAAGATGAGAAGTACTCTAAAATAAGTTATTTTCATGGTAACAAACACACAGTTCAAGAAGAAATTTATTGAAGCCACATTTACTTAGCACAATAGCTTTGAAGCAATTTACTAAGTACAAAGATTTCAACTCTGATTGACAAATAATGTCAACTTTGAAGATCAGTATAATATAGAAATGATTCAATGCAGGGCATTACAAAAATTGTCCAGTCACAACCTGATGAATCATACTCCCTTCTTCAGATATTCCATTTCATATGAAACCAGAATTATATGGTTAACCCAACATAGTGCACTATGCAAAATATTTCAGTGACATAATGAGTATCTAGCGTTTGAAGCAAACAAAACTGTACTCATACTTCACTATAACCTTTCAAATGCATGACTAAAATCTGAGTTAGGGTATGCCTTATTGCGAATCCTAAACTACCAAATTCAAACAAAACCAGAAAACTCACTATTTAAGGACATGAAGGAAAGACAATCTTACACATTTTATACTTTGAGTGACCATGGAAAAAATAATTTTTAAAAAAGTATCAAACCAAGACTGGTATTCAACTCTTAATATAGGTATTATATTACTTACATGAAATGTGTGGAACCAGAAGTACTTCAGATTTTGGAACATTTGCATAGACAATGGATTGAGCATACCTAATCTGAAAATCTAAAATGCTCAAAAATCTAAAGCATTTTAATTACGTCAGCTCTTTACCATCCCATTAATCTCTACATTCCAACAGCTTGAAGTTTCAGAGAAGCCCTCTCATTGTAAAGAGTATTAGGATAAAATAAGTATTAACTAGGAAGTGAGAAAGCACTCTACTATCAACTGATTAATACAACAAGGACTACTAGATGGACTAAGTAAAAAATAAATACCATTCAACAAACACAAAGTCACCACCAAGACAAGGGAAATCTGACTAGGGTGCAGCTCAAGTGATAGAGCGCTGCCTAAGCAAGCCCAAGGCCCTGAGGTCAATCCACAGCACTGCCAAACAAGAAAAAGACGAGGGAGTAACGGACAGCAGCACTGCTTTCACCTGTAATAAAAAGAATCATGTAACTATACCTTCAAGTACTCCCACAGCTAGGAATCTTCCATAGAACAACTCTACCATGGGATTCTTTGGCTTCTCTTCATCCCTAAAGTATGTTTAAAAAAAATAAATATATGATAAACATGCTTATAAATTTTAGACCTATAAATAACAGGGAAACATTTAAAAAGCTGTAATTCCTAACAAGATGACAGCATTTATGTATCTATCATATCTATAGCTTTATTATTTACTGTGTCACCTTGGGCAAAGAGCTTAAATTTATTCTTCAATTTCTTCACCTGTCAAATAAGGATAATTATGGTAATTGAACTCACAGGACTGTTGCAAGGTTAGAATGAGTTACTACATGGAACAAATTTAGAAGAAGGGACACTGTGCTCACAAAGTACTTGCTCTTTCTATAGTCACGATACATTTCAATCTGCATAATATATGGTTATTTAGCCTTCCTTGTTGGGAACAGGGAAAAGCCACTTTTAATGAGAACAGACTGCTACAAAACTCTGTAATGTTATTTCCTGAATTTTCATAAAAGAATGTATATAATACAAAAGCAACAGATGTCACTAGTGAAGGAATACTGCTAGCTCTGAACTAGAGCTACTAGAGAGCTACTCCTTCACTTTCCGAAATTTCATGTTGCTAGTAGAATTGTTTGTGAATTATTTAAATTATCTAACATGTTTTGACTGACTGATTTGTTTGAAGCAAACAAAAATTAGCAATTTTGGGTGAGGCATAGTGTCACATGCCTATTATGATGTCAACATTCAGGAGGCTGAGGTGCGAATTCCCTGAGTTCTAGCCAGTCTTGGCTACATTTCACATTCAAGGCTAGCCTGGGCTACAAAGTGAGACCATATCGCAAAAAACAAAACAAAACTAAACAACAACAACAAATGATGTGTTCAAATGTCTTCTATGGCCCCCAAACACAAAGTTTATTTCGACTTTATTGTATAAAGGCATGTTGTATTTACAATCATACACAGAATTTTTATTGTGTGTTTAAACTAATAAAATTGATTTGTAATACAGTGTTTTAAAAAAAAGTGATATCTGTCTCTTGATAAATGTTTTACATGGGTGATCACTTAATTCTAAGTACAGCGGTGGTAAATATTTCACTTAATACAATCTCAATATGTGACATATTAGTTTTTAACAGCGGTCAAAAAAAGTTTTCTGGCCCTTCACTTTCAGGTATAGGGTAAGACACACTTTCTCAGACTTTCAATTTTTTTGGTTGTGATAAAATGAACACAACACAAAATTTACCATATTAAACATTTTTAAGTGTACACTTCAGTAACATTAATCCCACTGTACAAACAAACTTCAGAACTCTTATCCTCTTGCAAGTCTGAAATTCTATACTCAAAACAACTTTTCCTCTCTCCCTAGTCTCTGGCAACCCATCATTCTACTTTCTGTTTCTATGAGTTTCACATCTCAATACCTCACATAAGTGCCCTATAGTGTCTTCCTTTTTTGTGACTAGCTTCATTTCATTTAGCATAAAGTCCTCAAGGTTCAGCCATGTCCTAACATGTCTCAGAATTCCCATCCTTTTAAAGCTGAATTAGACACCATATTTTGTTTATTCATCATCTATTGATGGACATTTGAGATCCTTCCACCTACAGCTATTGTGAATAATGCTACTGTTATCACTGCTGTAGAAATCTCTCTTTCAGGACTTGTTTTCAATTCTTTTGTATGTATAGGCACAAGGAGAATTGTTAGATCATATGGTAATCCATTTGAATCTTTTGAGGACCCACCATACTATTTTCTATAGTAGCTGTATCATTTTATATCCTCCGTCAACAAAAAAGGCTTCCAAGTTCTCCACATTTTGAGTTTTTTATTTTGTTTTGCTGCTGTTGTTTTGATTAGCAGCTATCCCCATGAATGTGAGGTTTTCCCGCTCTCTTTGAAATTAAGCAAGCCATATGATGTACTTTGCCCAATAAAATGTGTACAGGAATGGTAAGTGTCACTTCTGAACAGAAACCATAACAGCCAGTGTGTTTTTCACTGCCAGGGTGATCCCACAAGTCCTTGGTAAGACTAAGCCTGTGTTGGCCTGCAGCCCTAAGTCAGATCAGCAGAATCCCTCGCATAACCATGCTGGGTCTACCTGAAGCTATTGTACGAGCCTCTAAAGTTTTGGGGTTATTGCCACGGTATTAGATAGCCCACCTTGACTGATGAAAGGTCATACGCTTACCTCTGTTTAATTAACAAAACTATGGAGTTTAAATCACTTGTTCAAATTCACAAAACTAGTAAGTAGTTTTGTGAATTTTGTTTTGTGAACACCCTAAAACCCAGGTGTTTTCCTACCATATGCTTAATCTCTGGCCATTTTTACTCTATAGAAAAGATTTTTCTAAACTATGATAACAAAAAGGACTTGATAATGGTAAGAAATACAGGAAAGAGCCAAAGTTTGTCTCTTTTGATAGAAAAGTCTGAAGTTTTAGATATAAACCTTTACATAGTACATCACCATATCCATGGCATCGTATTTCCATGTAGAAAAGCAACATTGCTATTCTCTCTCCTTACCCATCACACAAGTGAAAGAGTAATCACTCATCTGATGACTTTTTTTGATGCTACTTATGGAAACATATTTTATTCAGTCAGTCCATAAATACAGGGTGCTTTCTATCAATCTAGCACAATGCAAGTGCTGAGGCCCCTATCTTCCAGACAATGACAGCCTGGATGACTTTATTTGATAACTTTGGAGGAGCCAACTGGTTATCAATGACTATACTAATTCTGGTTCCTTTTTCCATTTCCATTCAAATCTTCCATCTGAATTTTGGCATGCTATCCACTGACCTGTGTTATACAATGTCCTTCCCTAAGAAGTCAGGCAGGAATTTTCCAGAAATAGTTTGCCTTGCTCTTCTTTACAACCTCCCAGATACTCTTTCTATGCATTTCTGCTTGTGAATCTCAGGAACCAAGAATGGGGTTCCATCAACATAAATGTGAGAATCAACTGGAAAGGCAATTAAAAAGACATGAAACTCCTATAATAAAAGAGATACATCCATCACTTGCATGAAGGCAGAAGGAAATCAGATTGTCACCAATATCAGAGACAAAGAGAAAACACAGGTACATAGCCTTAGGAATTAGTTTATTACACAATGAATACATAGATACAGATTAATATAGAATGCTTTGGGACAGTGTTTCCCCAAATGTTTAAGGTCACTGGCACACAGATAATACATGAGAGGACTCTAGGAGAAAAAGACATGTTTCAGACAATCAGAGAAACTGAAGCTATACCTTCACAAACTCATACTCTTGGCTTACTATGGCACACCCACTGGAGAGTTCTACTTTATATAGGCAGAACACTTGCTCAGAATCAGGACACCTCCACAGCAGTAAAGAACAAATTGAAATTACTGAGAAACGAATGGAAAGAAGGATGTATTCCAAAGAAAACTTAAAATTTCAGACAAAAATGGAAACATTCTAACTTCTTTTAAAATTGTTTCAGAAAAAGGGGAGATAGCAATAGTTACTAGGTCAGAAAAGGTGACAGAGATCCAAAGAAATTTAATAGAAAGTAAACAGAAAATTAGCAAAACCTCCACAATCAATATATTTAGCCCTTCAGATGGAAAAAGGATTCAGTGAACATTAGAGTGAAATGTTATATATTATTATAAAATTGGGGAGTCATATGTTGAAAATAGAACCCTCTCTAAACGCTTACAGGAAATCTGGATAGATGTGAGAGGATAAACTAGGAATTTCCGTGCAAAACATTAAAAGAAGTACTGAGAACCTCTAAGAGACACAGTTAACACAGATGGGGATATAGCATTGATCAAACTCTAAGGCAGCATGTTCAATAAATTTTTAGTTGAACTCTAAGGAAAAGTATAAGAAACATGAGCTTTACAGAAACTAGGGTAGACAACCATAGAATAATTTCACAGATGGGTCGTGTGTCTGTTGGTCTGAGTATAGAACCCCTGGTAGAATTCCCCAATTCAGAAGGTAAAGGAGGGTAAAGCATGTTTGAATAATAAATGAGCTGGACATCTGAATTCAGATTTCCCTGACCCTCATGGTGAGGAAACCACCAACACAGTAACAATGGAGTAAGTTGGAAAAAACAAATAATATAGACCAAAAAGCAAAGAATAGGAAAAGATATTCAGATCAATCAAGCAGGGCTTGTTCTACATGAGGTAGAGGCTAAGCAGCAGCTTAAACTGTTAAAAACTTAAGCCAAACCTTCCTAAAAGACAGAAAAAACAATCTGTGTATGTGTGTGTGTTTATGTGTATGTATGTATACATATGTATGTAACTGAACCCTAGAGGTATATCAATCCCCCAAAGAAATAGCAGAAAGAAATATATACAAGGCCTAGAAAATTCAGAAGTTAAGGAAAGAATGTATCACAGAGATGACGATCTTCATCAGGTTTCAAAAGCATTGAGAGCAAATTCAGTTCAAGAATCTGAAGGGGAGGTTTTATGGAAGAAACTAAGATGAAGAGAAGAGAGAAACCAACCTTGGAGGCAGTTTTCATAGGCCTAAGCAATTCCATAGCAAAATGAAGAGCTGGCGGCCACTGAAGCACAAAAACAAGTTATTAGAAATGGCTTCCATTCCACCTGGCATTGGTGGGTGGCAAACAGGAGCTCATAAGGAAAATGCAACAAGAGTTTGTTGGGACAGGAAAAAGGACACCTGATGATTAGAGCTCCTAGCATATAAACTTCTAAACAGGCTAAGAAAGCAGCTTTCAAATGGTACATCCTATGATAAAGACAGTTGAGGAAAAGTCAAATTTTGTCCTGTCAGATATTATAGGCTTGGTGCTAATTTAATCTCTTGAGAGACATTTGTCTCAATTTAGTTTAAGTACACAAAAGTAGTCTGTAGCAAACTGGTCCTTAATTACTGGCATGATGGCAGAACTAAAACTTACATGATTTTCTCAAATTGCCATTCCCAAGTTTTTGCTACAGTTTTTCCCAAACTCTTGAGTAGATGCTGCACTAAGTTCTTGAAATAACAGCATAGTGAATTAAGAGGTAAGAGGTTAAACTTTTCCTTTTGTTTCAAAATATCAAAGAGGTCAATTTTAATCGTGTGTGTCCTAATAATCCTCTGAAATTTAAAATTAAAGTATATATAATTCAGCATGTGAAGAACTAAGGGAACTAGTTAGACGTGAAAAAGTAAAAGAGACACAGGCTACAGTTAGTAGGGACCCAACTTTGTTCAGTCATAGAAGTGACAAGCTTACAGTGAGGAACACATAAACTGAGAGGCTGGGAAATCAAATTTCTTTCTATATGACTTGCAATCACTAGGCAAAAATAATCTGATTTCTAAGCATAACTTCTCTGAACTTTTCCTTAAAAAGATTAAGGTGATATCATTTGGAAATAATTTTTCCCTGGATCTTGGCAACACTGTAGGAAGTACATCAAGTTTGGAAGCATCATCTCCTAATTGTTGACACTGCATGGCCAGAATATCTTTAATTTTACTGTAGGCCATGTTATAATGACCTTTATTGGACAATGAGACTAGTGATAATTTAAAAATAGGGAAAAAAAAAAAAAAAGAAGGAAAATCTTTTTTATTCTGGGACTTCAGGTATTAACTACTACCTCATGTTACAGATTCATGTTGGAGCTTTGACATGGCAGTCTAAATTATCTATAATGGTTCAAGAAAATACAAAAAGGAACAAATGTTGGTTTTAGGAGAATGGCCTCATAAAGATGGGAACAGGACTTCCCTGAAATAGTTAATTTCATCCTCCAGGAAGGCCACCCACATATTTTGAATAAGCAAGGTTTTAACGGTTAAGCCTAATGGATACAGAATAAGAAGCAGGGAATACTTAGAGAAACAGGATATCCCTGGTTCTCATGATCCCATGAGAAAGGACTTTCCCAGAAATAGAAAGTCCTTCATAATTCCTCCACCACTAACCCACTACTACTTTTGAAGAGTGATTATTGAATCTAAGGAAAAGAAGTGGGCATGTATGATTAGTTAGGCTCAGATCAGAATCTACTATCAGGTCATATAGTAGAAACTGAAAGCTACCCAGAATTTGTGCCCACAGATTTCAAACAGCTTATCAGTAAAATAAATAATACTGGGAATCTCAGAAGTATGTCTTGGTTTTCATTTTCTGTGTTGACATTGAGTACATAAGGGAAAAAAACTTAGTGCTATGTATTAACTTCCTAAAACCCCATCATTAAATTTCACAGTAACTTACGTCTCTTCTTCAGCTTTTGTTTGGAAGGCATCTTCTAACCAATCTAATAATTTGTGTGTAAATTCACTTACGTCTTGCTGTGGAAATAAAAAAGTCTTATTGGTATTTGAGTTTACTAATAAAAATGCTAGATATGTTGCAACATAAAAATTACAGCCAGTCACTGAAATGTATAAACACCAACTCCTCACAACAGTATCATGTAAAATGTTTCACATAAAATGCAACAATTTTTTTCAAATTGTAACCACTGTAAAAAAATCAATACTTAAAAAAGGATTATTATAGTCACTATTACTGGGTTACACTTTAGGAAAAATACACGCACACACACATATTCAAATTTAACAATGAGTTTATAAAAAACAATTAGCACTGTACCCTCAAGTTAATTCTATAATAGATGCTTGTAACATGAAAGACTTACATAATACAAAAGCATTCTTCATTTTATAAACAATCATCACAACTTCTCTTTTAGAAGACAGACTAGAGCCTGTGGACAATTCAGTTTCTTGATTCAATACATACACACAACTCTTTAAGCCATATCCACCTTTACCAAGCCACTAGCTAGCTTCAGCAGGTTAAATCTAACTAGTTGCTGACACCTCAATTATTTAGGCTAGAATCTTATGCACCTCAAACTGATTCTTCATTCAGAGACAGAAAATATGTCACCATTTACCATTTCTTTCTTTGGTCCTTGCTCCTAAAACATGGAATAGAAATAGGTAGTGTTATACTTACCAACTACCACAATTCTTTACATAATATGAGTTTAGAGGAATAGGTTCACAAAGAAAATAGGGAAAAACATAAGTTAACCATAAGACTGCTCAAAGACAGAGGAATCAATACGGGTACTTTATTTACTTACAAAAATAGCCCCAAGTATAAAATGGACTATTACATATTTTTTCACATAGGTTTTTGAAAAATGTTTGGGTAAACCTATTCACCTCACAATGTCAACTAAGGTCTAGGGATCTTAAGTAAATTCTCTAGCACTATATGGATAAATAGGACTAAATTCTGCACAAAAATCTATTTAGACACAACCATATCATCTATAGTGGGTAGAACAGTACCCCACCAAAATATGTATTAACTTGGAACCTCAGATCTTCATGGAACATGGGACTTTGTAGGTATAACTGAAGCAAGATCTCAAGATGAGATCATCCTAGGTAAGAGTAAGCCCCAAATCTAATGATCGATGTTCCTGTAAGAAACAGAAAGAAAGAAAGAAAAAAAAAGAAGACACGGGGAAAAAGAAGTGAGAAACTGGAGCTATGCTGACACAAGACAAGGAATGCCAGGTGCCACCAGAAAATGGTAGAGGTAAGGAAGGATTCTCCTCCCAGAGCTATCATCAGAAGAATAACCTTTCCCTTCATTTTGGACCTCTTGCTTCTAAAATTGTTAATGTTATTCAACCATTTTGTAATATTGTTAAAACCACCCAACTTAGAATAATTTTTATGGTTGTCCTAGGAACTAGTGTATAACCTTAAAAGAAATTTTCACACTTTTCTATAACTTTACTTATCTTGAAGATTCAATCCAACAAGACACAAAAAGGGTCGAACATGGTAATTCACACCTTATAAATCCAAGCAACATGGGAGGCAGAAGAAATATGAGAATCGTGATTAGAGGTCAGTTAGTGCAAAAAAATAAGTGAGACCGTATCTTAAAAGCAAGCCCATTACCAGAGGAGGGGAGCAAAAAAAAGCCTATGTAGTGCATGCCTGTAATCTTAGGTACATGGAAAGCTAAGTAGAAGATCACATGCCCCAGGCAAAAGTGATACCCTACCTTAAAAAAAAAAAAAAAAAGAGGTTGGGTGTGAGGCTCAAGTGGTAAAGCACTTGCACAGCAAGCACATAAAAAAAAAAATGGTGATCTATCACAAGTTTTCAGAAACAGTTAATCCCTGTCTTTTGAAACAACCAATCTAAAATTAAAAATTGTTTAATAAAAATTCTAACTAATTTCATCAAGAGAAAAATGTAAGGTCTTTATTATAACATTTTACTTTTAAACTAAAAGATGAGATTAAAAGTAACAGTACTACTGCATGCCAAAGTGTCCCGCATAATACTCTAGCATATTTCAAAACAAAGCTTTAGGAAGAATGTCAAATTCATTCTTTTAAAAAAATAGAATGCTCATGCCACTTATGAATTTATACTTCAGAGTTAAGAGTTTGGGGAACAAAAGAGAATCAGATCTGCATCAACCTGAACTGAAAGGAACCTACTTTAAGAGCCCACTAGAGAAAAAGAACCAACAATGAGGAAACTAGTTAGTCTACACCGCGAGCTCAAAGCAAAGGCAATCAGAACACCTAAGAGCAAAACAGTTAGGTGTCTGTCTCCACTTTCACTCTATCGCCAACTGAAAAAGTCCCTGCAGGTGAGCTTGTAAAGCTCCAAATGCAGTCTATCTGGCCTCATTTTTAAAGATGAAAAGACACTCGAAGATCACTATAAATCTGTGCAAAACATCAAAAGAAAAGAAAGTAAAACACTAGGAAAAATCAATTCCAAAAGAAAGTAATCTTGCTAACATTTAATTATATACTAAGAGCCACTGAAGAATATAGTGTACCATGTATTAAAGAAAAGAATGATAAAGAAACAAATTAATGAATAAGTAAATAAAAAATATATTCTTAGAAGTACTCAAACTGATAGTGTGGGATCATTTTAGGAAAACTATGATTTTTGGCTTATATTAGTGTTATTGTGACAGAAAGAGTAAGTAACAAAGGTGAACAGATACAACCTAGAGGGCACTGGTCATTGACAGAAATTTTTTTCAGAAGAAAACTCCAATGTGAATACCCTTTTTGTTTGGTATATCTGCCGCACAAGAATTTTTAGAAGAAAGAAAAAAAAATCCACAGGAAAGTTGGAAACAGAATTTTTCAGTCATCCTTCAAATTCCTTTTCCATACATGCACAAAAGAGAGATATATTCAAGGGCCATAAAAACTGTATCACAAAACCAATGCTTTTTAAATCTCTTCTCAAATATTTTATCTTCTACTCTGTACTGCAGCAGTCATCTCTTTCAATACTTGATTATTCCCTGCCACCTTGTTCATTCCTCTTTGTTTTCCTTCTTAATTCCTCTGACCTTTCAAATATGTCAGGATATTGGTTTGTGGACATTTCTATTTTTATATGAAAATTCCCAAGATTGCTTTCAGAAAATGTAAAAAGGCTCCATGACAGCACTATTTAAAGAATGAAAACAGTAAGGAGAGCAATATCATTCTCTACATGTCCCTGACAGCAAGAACAGGAGTATCATAATCATATATACTATACTGACACATATTTGTTAAGATTTTTAATTAATGTGAACATTCTTAATTTTATCCATTGTTTACTCTTACCAATTTCAATCATAAAGTCACAACTTCTTTTACCTTAATATTTCCAATTTAGATCACGCACTTTTGTTTAATTTAAAAATGCCAGGATAAAAAAATGCCTTAAATGGTTCCAGGTCATTATTAGTAAAGCTAAATAATGCATCCTAAATTGAAAAGGTTGCTTAAGGATTCATGGTATTGAATAAAATACAGATGGTTAATAAACAAGTACAAAAGGCTACCTGCTGTGAGTCATTTGATTTGAAGGCATCCTTAAGAATTTCAACAGCTCTTGACGGATCAACATACTTCCTTTTAGTACCAACAAGAAGTGCAAAAAGATACCTCAGCTCACGCATAAAAGGCAAATTCCGATGCTCCTACAGGAAAAACAAACTTAAGTTAACAAAATTTTTACTGGTCAGCAGATATTCGTCTTAACAGTAATCAAAAATTAAGCTAACTAATGCAGACTAGGGGTAAATCCAGCACTTCATATCATATTTAAATAAAAGTAGATGTTGTCCTCTACAGGACCCAGAGTAGTCAAACATGAAGATAGCAGATGGCCTAGACTAGCTCATGATTTTAGCATAAAAGCCACATATTCATAGCAAATCATGTCATTACCAGCCAAGAATATCCTCCTCATTCAAGTCTGTTTATTGCAATCTTTTCCATTCAGCAAGATCCAGCTGCTGCTGACAAGGGCAACAGTAACAGCCAACATTCAATAAGTACTCACTGCATGCCAGGCACCATTCTAAGTGCTTTACCCCATAAACCCATTTAAACCAAAATCCCTCCTCCTCCTCTGCCAGTCTACCTCTAGTGAAATGAATGTCTTAACTGCCAGTGCTACTGAATGATCCTAATTACTGGACTAGGACCATGTCTAACTATCATTTCATAATTTAATGAACAGTAACTATTGATAGGTTTATTATTTTTAACACTGCTTATTTCATGACTTTATTTAATATAATTATAATTATAATTTTTAATTTTGTTTTACAAGTAATTAACCTAACCATTAATTATACCAGGTAATTATATGATGCTAATATATCGTCTTCTTGAAACTCTTCGAAATTTTACTTTTGTTCTCAGTAAGAATATAAGCTTCTCAGAGATAAAGACTTCAACATCTCTTCTATAACCTTTGCTACACAAACCAGGCATTCAATTATAGTAGTTGATTAAACCAAATCCTTAAGAAAATAAACAAAAATCCATACTGTCAATCACTAGCAACTTATTTTTTTAAAAAGGAACATTAATACACATAATTTAGTGAAAGGCTTCACATCAACAAAGCAGACAAACAGTTCTTACAATATTTAGTTCTTGCAATAGCAATTTTAATATAAAGATCAAACATACTACTTAAATGAGAAAAACTATTCCAAATTTACATAATTAGTACTATCAACATTGTAGGGGCATATTTATGTCTCTATATAATTTCTGCTCAGAATAATATAATCCACATAGAAATTGCTGCTTTCAAAATATATTCAAGGCTGAGCATGGTGGTATATGCCTATATTCCAAGCTAAGTGAGAGTCAGAGGTCAGAGGCTCACAGTCTAAGTTCGGCCCATGACAAAAATGAGTTACCCTATTTGAAAAACAACAAAAGGGCTGGGGACATGGCTAAAGAGCCATGCCTAGCAACTTTAAGGTCCTGAATTCAAACCCCAGTACTGTCCCAAAAAAATTTTGAACTTTTTGACTCTTAAAAAATAAACAGAAGGCAATAAAACTGGTTCCAAATATTTACCATTTCATCCAAAAACTACACACACCATTAAAGTACTCACAAGGTACACTGGCTACTTCTGACATAAAAGTGTTGAGTTATAAAGAACATTCAACACATTTAATGTAAATATAATAAATTCCATCAGTGAAAGGTTAAGTACAAAACTTTTTAAGTGAAAAAAAAAAAACTAATTTATGTTTCCGTGGTATTTCCTGTCTCCTCTCCAACTGCCTTGTAAAGTTTTAAAACTGTAAATAACACTAATTTAATCCACAAAATAATTTCCAAAAATACCTTTAGTTCCTGCCAATTTCTATCTTTATCACTGTATCTAAAAGAAGGCAGTTTTTTAGAAGACATTCCTTGTCAAGAAAGGATGAAAGTAATGATTTTTGAAAATTAAGAGAAATGCTGCTGAGTAGCAAGAAGCAAAATATTTTAATATAGTGAAACATAATTGTCTCAGACAATTCCTGTGGCTAGAAAATCATTTTTGAATTACTGGCTTTGTTGAGGTATGACTGATGCACAATACATTTTACATTACAAAGCAGTATCACAATCAATATAACACACCTATCCATCACCCCCATATTTCTTCACCCATTGGTCATTGTCCACTCACCCTAGGAGATCACAGTCCCTTTGTATTTTCTAGAAAAGTATGTAAATGGAATTATATACTATGCACTTATTTTAGTCTGCTCCCTGATGCAGCATCATGATTATGTGCACTAATAATTCAGGATAGCCCAGTGAAGTGTGTTACACCTATAATTTCAGCTACTCAGGCAGCTGAGGCAGGAAGTCTCTAGTTCTCGGTTTTTATCAAAAATTTTTATGGTTTTACTTCTTCCTTTTAGTCCACTGTGAATTCTTTTGGTGTCAGGTGATAGGTAAAGGTAATTTTTCTGTGTATGACACTACTTGAAAAATAATTTCTTTTGCTCACTTATTTTGCAAACTTTGATTAAAGTTTATTTACCTCATTTATGTGGGTCTGTCTCTGAACTGTCTATACTGTTTCATTGCTGTATGACAATCTCTTGGCCAGTAACATCATGTCTTTATTGCTGCAGCTTGAGAATCCCTACAACACTGATTTTCTTTTAAATTGTTACTGCTATCCTGTATCATTTGAATTTCCACATATATTTTAGAATAATTTCTCATCTCCTATGTAAAATCCTGTTCAGATTATTACTGAGATTACATTAAATCTCTAGCTTAATTTGGGGACAACTGACATGTTAAAAATACTGAAACCCATCTGTGAGCATAGTATATCTCTTTATTTCTTTTTCTCTCAGCAATATTTACAGTTTCCAGTGTACATATCTTCCATCTATTAGGCCAACTTACCCTTAACAATTTCACATTATGGATGCTACTGTATAAAAGTATTTTCAATGTGAATTTTCATTTTTGTTAATATTTAGAAATACAAGTGAGTTCAGTATGTTAATCTTAACTTTACTATATTCATTTCCTGACTTTAGCATGTTTTTTTCTTTGTAAAGTCCTTAGAATTTCTTAGACAATCAAATCATATAGACAACTTTTTTATTTCTTCCCTTCTAATTTATATTAACAAAAAGTCCTATTCCTTCCTTTCCAATTACCATGGTTCTTTTCTTTTCTTGTCTATGGCACTGGTTATGAACTCCAATTTAATGCTTAATAGAAGTGGTGAAGGTTGATATTTTGATTTTTCCCAATATTTGAAAACCATTCCATTTTTCACCATTAAGTGTTATATCACAAGTAGTTTCTTGCTACCTTTCTTTTTGTTTTGTAAGTGAGCTTTATCAAAATAGAAAGTTCTTTTTTATTCCTAATTTTTAGGATATTTTTATCATAAATTGTCAGTTTTTGTCAAATCCCTTTTTTTCCTCTATTGAGACAATCATATAGTTTTTTGTTTTTAGTGCATAAATATGGTAAAATGAACTGATTTTTGTAATGCCAAACCAATTTTGCATTACTTTATAAACCCCACTTCCTCATGAGGTATTATCCTCTGTGTGTGTGTGTGTGTGTGTGTGTGTGTGTGTGTGTGTAGCAAGATTCAACTTGCCAAAAATTTACTACAACATTTTATTTCCATACTCATGAGGAAAGTTTGTCTACACTTTTCTACTTTGGGTTTTAGGGTAATGCTGGGCTTATCAAATGAGTTGGGAAGTTTTACACTACTTTGATTTTCTATAAAAATGTACCTATTGTATTTTTTAGTAGAAAGGGTCCAAATTGTTTAATATGATATGGTTACAAGTTATCTACTCCTTCATCAGTAGACTTTAATACCTTGTGTCTTTCAATATACTTATTTTTTGTTTATATTTATTTTTTCTTTTACTATTCATAGAATACATACTAACATTTCCATTTTTATCCCTAGAATGTATAATTTACGTATTTCTGTTCTTTTTTGCTCAGTATCTCTCCCTAGAAGCTCAACAATTTTATTAATCTTCTCAAGAGCTAGCTTTTACTTCATTTACTTTCTGTTGGTTCTCTGGTGTCTAATTCAGTGATTTCTATTCTATATTATTATTTCCTTTCTTATGCACTAGCAGTCATGTTTCTCTCTAATTTCTTGACATGTAAGCTGTTGTCATTAATTTGAAACTATTCTTCTTTTTTAGTAAGATGTTTGGTTCCACTAGATGATTTTCTACTAATCATTATTTTCTCTCTCATTTTGGTAGGTCATGTTATAATTTTCATTCATAATATTCTAAAATTCTCCTATTTTTTTTGTTTCTTAGGATATTTAGAGATGTATTATTTAGTTTCTACCTGTCTTGGGATTTTCTAGATACCTTGTTATTGCTGGTTTCTAACAACTCCATTGTAGTCAGAAAACATATTTTGCAAACACTGAGCCCACTGAATTCTTTAAAATGTATTACAACTTGTAAATCTAGTCCCTGCCACCTCATCATAATTAAATGCAGAAATTCCACAATGCTGGTATTATTATTTTTGTAAGCTTCAAAATTTCTTCAGTGTAGTACTCAAATAAACACATTACATTCTTTCATGATTATCACTTCCATATAGGGGAAAATACTTACTTAGAAATATTTGTCCTAAATCAAGACTTTAAAGTGATCTAAGCTAATGTTTAATAAAGCTTGAGCTATTCATATGGTGATTTCCACTAAATATGAGGTTATGTATCTGTTTTCTCAAAATCTAATTTTTTTACCATTAGTATATAACACTTTAAGCCAAAGAGTATCTATGTGGGGGTGGAGGGAAAGGGTATGATTGGGATCTGAATCTATCATTTTTCTACTAACCTCACAATTTTCTTAGACAGTAAACTTATAAACAGTTCAAGTAAGTATGGGTGTGTAAAAATTAGTTTCAATTTCTAGCAGAAATAATCAAGTCTATCTAAAACTCAAACTAATTTCAAGACACTGCTTCTCTTACTTCATGTGCACATAATATTTGTGGCAAGTTTTAATTGTAACAAAAAGATATCTTGCTTAGCAGCAAATACAAATGGCATCTCTGTGAACTGATTAAACTGATTCCAAGTGTATTCTGTTACTTAGCACATTAGTTTTTAAGCTCAATGTAACAGTAAACATCTCATGAACTGGATGTAAGTTCACTATTATATAATAAGTAGAATAAGTTACACTGACACCTTTTTAAAAAACTGTGACTTTTATCACCTCAAGTGAGTGTAACACATATCAATGACTGATTATCTGTAATTACCATGTTTGCTTCAAAGACATCAAGTTACAGTGTGTGTTGCTGTCACCAAGCCAAATTAAAGAGTAACTTCAATTGTGGAACAATCTTACATAAAGTTGCACTGTTCTTCTAAATAAGTGTCTTTTAAAGAAGGAAAGTGAGAAATTATTTTAACTCCCTTAGCCAAAGGGACATCTGGACATGCTATACCATTTCACTACAAGAAAGAAACTTCTCTAAAAAGGTGCTGGTTATACATTTCTGTGGTATGTATCATATGTAAACAGATATGATGATTACTTTTTTTTTTATGTGAACAGAGGAGAAAGACTTTATTTTCTACCAGAAATATTGAAGTGCTAACATTTTTTTTTTATTATTCATATGTACATACAAGGCTTGGGTCATTTCTCACCCTGCCCCTACCCACTCCCTTACTTTTTGAGTAAGACGACAAAACGAACTTGGTTTTATTAAACTGTGAAAAACAAACTAAAGCTCTGTAAAATAATAAAATCAGAAAATAAAAGGTCAACAGGACATGTATGATTCTAAATAATGTTCAACAAAGTATACATATCATTCAACTGAGAAATGAAAAAGGAGAACTATTGATATTAACAACTTGTGACCAAGGGAAGCAATGGTGCAAAAATTTCATATAAAAACTGCAAAGAGTGAAGGTTTTTTGCTTTATTTCTCAGGATGCTTGAGAACTGTTAGGTGGTCTTGGTTCCCTTTTAAATATGAGTTGCTTTTCAGCCTGACAGTTAACAGTTCAGAGTTTATAGCCTGAAAAGTTGGTTGTCAATCAGGTTATATTCCCTCCATCGTGCATTAAAAATTTTCCACATATTTAAAGAAAATGGTTTTAAAAACTAAACACTAAAAGGAAAAGATAATTTAATAATTTTTAATAATTTATCATTACAACAACAGGTCACACAAAGTTCAGCACTTTACTGAAACCTAAAATGTTACCTTCCTTGTCTTTACAGCCATTACACTTTAGGGCTACAGTAGGCTCTTCATGGCAAGACCGCTAAAGCCCTGCAACTCAAGCCTCAGCTCCACAGTCAAGGCTTTTTTCATTAAGTCTCAATGTATGTGTGCAAACCACTCCTGTTTTTTAAAAAGTATTTCTTAAATTTATTATGTAACTAGTAATAGCTGATACCTATTATTTACTACATACCAGGTACTTTAAAACGCTTTGTATGTTTTTTCTCATTTAATCCCCTCAGAAATGCTATGAAATAATTACTGTTATTATCTGTACTTCACAGATAAGAAACTGCAGAAAAAGTCAAGTGAGTTGCTCTGGGTTCACAGACAGAAACAGGCAATCAGGTCCTGGAGTAGTCTATGTTCTCTTACTTTTTACTGTATAACAACATCAACTTCCAAAACAGAAGGTAAAGATTTGTACTACAAAGATACCAGAAAAAAAATTTATATTTTCAATATTTCCTGTGGATAAATAATTGAAAATTTTGATTTCCACAATTTTTCACAAGTCAATTGAGGAAAGCCTTAAAATTAAGTGCAAACAGTAACCTAAACAAAGTTTATTAAAATTTTAACAGTCCTTAAAGGTGGGGATCCCAAACTGACATGAAAAATTGTCATATTAATATAACACTTGGGTGAAGAAAAATTCTTATTTGAAATATAATGACAAAAGATGATACTGTAACAGAGATTAATGAGTTGACATTCAAACTCTAACAGTTTCAGATCTGATGAACCAATTAAATGGCCTCAATTTACAGATGAGAGAATATAAAAAGCATAGATACTTGGTTTTAAAATCCTTTATAATTTTACCTTTTGGTTTCGGGGCAAATCTTGAACATTTGATGGAGGCTTATAATTCAGAACTAATCTTCTAAATTCCAAAAGATTGAATAATGACTGAAAAAGAACAATAATTTAAGATACCTAAGAGAAAATTCTAGTAAAAGAATTGTGAAAGTCACCATTTTCAGAGATTGAACAAATACACAACTTATACACAGAAATGTTGCAACTAGTGCAAGAAGGGCTATTTCAAATTTATATTTTGATATACAGTTCTTTTTTTAAAAAATTTTATTCATTTATTCACATGTGCATCCATTATTTGGGCCATTTCTCCCCTGTCCCCTCCCTCTCCTCCCTCCCCTCTCACTTCCAGGCAGAATCTGTTCTGCCCTTATCTCTAATTTTGTTGAAAAGAAGACATAAGCATAATAAGGAAGACAAAGTGTTTTTTAAAAAGCATACTATACATATTATTAAAAGCTGTTTCTTTATGTTACTATGTTGTTAACAAGTAGTTTTCTCAAAATAAAATAAAAGGTTCACATTGCAGTTAAGAACTTTTTAGACATGTCTACTGTGAATTACAAGAAAAATCAAGTACAGGTAAGTTTGTTCACCAGATACTAGGTGAGAGAGACATAAAGAAATTTCACTCTCCCTAGGCCCAAGAAAACAGAGAGCCCAGAAGACAGATACATAATTCTAACAACAGAAATGAGACTCCAAGGTACAGTAATGCTAACTATACAGCAGAATGAGAATGGATGAAGGATGCTCATGAAAAGACTTCCTAGAGGGATGGGCATTTTTCTGTCATTTTTATTGGTAGGGATCAAACTCAGGGCCTGGCACTTGGTAGGCAAGTGCTCTAAACCCCCAGCCCCAGGAAAGTATGTTTTAAATGGTAATAATAAACATTTTTTTAAATGAAATAAAATACAAAGGGAAATATCAGAATGCATCATAGTAACTTCAGTCTTTTTTATAAAATTTGTAGTATGGAAATTTTACATACATGTATATATGTTTTACAGTGTGAGGTGTATTTCTTTTTTGGGTCACAGTTTACAAACTTGAAAATTACTCAGTAGGAAACAATAATGTATTATATTTCATAAAAGATCACTTAGCTTTTTTAAAAGATGATAAAGAGAGCTCCAAAAACCAATGAGCTAACAAGGTTTTTCTCAGTAGTCAGGTACTGAGATAACTGGCTCACTACTTATAAATAAATGGTGCCAGATAAATAAATGGATTAAAGACCTAAATTTTGAAAGTCAAACCAGTTTATGATAACTTTAAAAAAATATTTTGGTTGTCCTAATCTGGAGGGATTAAATCAAACATTTTGAACACACAAAATAATCAATGTATCCATTTATTTTATTTCTTTGAGAGAAGCCTGCTCTCAAATTCCTGAGGGCAAGGGATCCAAGCAGCCAAGACTGTAGGTGTGCATCAGTACACCCGGCTCATTTATTCATACATTTAATAGATATTTATGAAGTAACCACTACATATAAGACACTATGAAGACAAATAAAAGGAAATTAAAATACATATACACATACACATACATACACACAAATACATTTGTGGGGATTATAATCTTGTATTTGCAGGTCAAAGCAGTAACAGTAAATGTTATAAATCAGAAAGGATTTGAGTACAATTACAGTAGGCCATGATCAAAACCTTAGAAAAGAGGTAACATTTTAAAGTCAGAAGAGGGGAAAAGAGTTTAGGGAAAGAAAAAGTAAGAATAGTAAGGAAATTAGAAGAGAAAAAGGTGCAGTGAAAGCCAGGGATTTCAAACATGCCTGTGTTTCAGAATAACTTGTGAAGCTTTAAAAAATACCAATGTCAGGAATCTTCCAATAAAGATTTAAAAGTACCAGGGAAGATTACGATGTATGTCAATGAATTCTTGGCAAATTTCAAGGAGGACAACATTGGCAGTAATGCCACATTCCAATAGGTAAGGGCATCAAAATGACCTTTGGTTATGGCAACTGAGAAATCACCTTTTCAGTAAAGTGACAGAGGAAAAGTATTTCCAATAAGAATTAGAGAAATGGAATATAAGTACAGGAACAAAGAATCGACTATTCTCACAAAGAATTTCAAAAGAAGAGAATATAGGCAAATTAGGAGAATAGCCAGTCCTACATTTACGCTCTGAGCTACTGCTAAATTTCCTCTGATCTGCGTATTCCAGTAAAAAATTATTTCAGCATTGGCTTAACTGAAAATTGGTTTAGAGTCATTTTTGAAGATTTTTACTATGTATAGAATTCAAGGTGGCCAATCAGTTTTTTCCACTAATTAAAAGACACTGTTTGGTTTCTGGTAAAAAGTCAGATGACAATATTTTTGCTGCTTTACAGAGGTGATGTGATATGTTTCTCCACGTAGATACTTCGATAATTTTCTCTCTGCCTACAATGTATTTGTCTTATTTCAGTGTGTGTTGGTGTTATATTCTTTATGTTTATACTTTTGATTACTATTCTTCCTGAATCTTTGGCTTCATCTCTCAAGTTTGGAAAATTCTTAGTCATCATTTCTTCAAATACTGCCTTTGCACTAGTCCCTCACCATCTGGAACTACAAATCTAAGTATGTCGGTGCCGCTCACTGTGTCTAACCTATCTCTTACATGTACTTATCTTCCTGGCTTTACTCTGAAACTATTCTTCATACCAATTGTCCAGCTGACTAATTCTCTTTCCAGTGACGTCTAATATGCTCAATATATCCAGGACTTTTAAAATTTCACGTATCACATTTTCCATTCTAAAATTTCCATTCTGCTTTGTTTTCTCTCAAAATTCTTAACCTTGCTTTTAATTCCTTGAACATATTAATTAGTTATTGTAACAATGTTCTGATTTCTCTGTAGGTATATTTCCATTTTGCTTTTAATTTTCACGTACATCTTATGTTATTTGGGATGGTTGAGTGCTAGATGCTGTATATAAATTTAAAATTATAGATGTTATGTTTTAACAGAGAATTTACATTTGCTTCTGGCTGGAAGCTAGACTGTGGTCACTTACAGTCCTAGGTCATGATAACCTGATCACCTCTGGGATGATCTGAACCACAGCCTACTTTCAGTCCTCAGTTCATTCTAGCTCTAACCTTTTAGAATTGTAACTGGAGTCTAAGGTGATTACTAGGGCTCCAGTTCTGTGAATAAACTTAGCTTATCTTCTCAGCCACTCAGTTACCCACTTCTAGAAATTCCTCAAAGATCAAATCAGCTCACAATGTCCTACTGGGTCACTATAATATCTACAAAATTGTGGAAAATCTAAATGCTGGATACTGACTTTTAAATTTGATCTATCAGTGTTGGGAGATGAAAACAACAGCTTTGAATAGATGAAATAACAGAGCCAGTCCCTTATCTATCTCAGCAGGAAGGCCCCATCACTTAGAAAAATAAAAGTAAGAGAAGAACAAGGTGGGGAAAGATGCTTTTAAGAAGCAGATCATGAGGATGAAGTTTAAGGCAAAGGACTGCTGTTTTGACTCTAAGTCTTTTAATGCTATGGGATTTTTCTTTTCTCTTTGAACTATGGACACTTTTATTTGATCAAAATTGGAGACAAAGCAAACAATGTGAATAAACATTTGAAGTGCTATCTGAAATTTACCGACAATTTCCAGCATATTTTCCAATAGCCTCACTTAATACTTCGGGTACTCCCTACATCATTAGGGTGACAGAAGCATTTTAAGTCTTGAATTCCACCATAAATCATACATGCCCTTTTTGGTTCATTCAACCAGTCATTTATTTAATAACTTAACAGACTACTGGAATGTACCAGACACTACTGCATATTAACAGTAACTCAGATGACTCTATATCCTCAGGATGCTTGTACTTCAGCAGACCTATACATATTCTGCCTGACCTTTTACGGAGGTGTAGAGGAGTAGCACTGGGGCTTCAACTCAGGGCTTTGCACTTGTTACTAGGCAAGCACAATAACTCTTGGGCCACATCTCCTGCCTTTTTGCTTTAGTTTATTTTTCAGACAGAGTCTCACGCTATTTGCCCAGGCTGGCCTCAGACTATGATCCTCCTACTCAGGCCCTGCAGCACAGCTCAATTACAGCTGTGTCCCACCATTCCCAGCTTGTGTGTTGAGATGGGATCTCACTAATTCTTTGTCTGGGCTGGCCTCTAACCACAATCCTCCCAGTCTCCACCTCCAGAGTAGATTGGATTATAATACCTTTCTAAATTTTCAGGAAAACTGATTTACTAAAAATATCTTCTTTCCACCTCAAGAGAAATTTCTAACCCCAGGGAAGGATGAGAAATTAATTTCAAATAAGTGAAAGATATAAGTAGTGCTCTAATGTTCGAATTCCATAGTGCGATTGAAGAGCAGAAAGGGGCACCTAAACTACTTTATTAGGCAAGAGAATATGAAAACCTTCCACTACTTAAAGTGTGTAAGTTAAAAGAAACACCAACCCAACCCACTGCTATCATGCCCACCAAATAAGAGCTAAATAAAGATCCTTACCTGAATAACAGCACTAAACCAGCAAGTGTTGCCAACATTCTTTAGTCCAACAGGAGCCTTGTCCTGTCGTTTTCTATCATAAGGGTTTCGAGAATCCCTCCAAACGTCTGTGGGTGTCCTCTTCAGGCATGCTTTGTTTTCTGCTATGCTGGCCTCAAGAACTCTTATGCAATGGAAAGACAATGATTGAAGAATTAGGTGTCATATGCAAGTATTACTGTACTCTTAAGCAATAGTACACCATAAACTTTAAGGATTTTCAGTACCTAAGCCCTGGATGTATATGGAGATCAGTTAATGCTAACTTTAGCAAGTACAGGGTTAGTCCTCTTTACAAGCATGGCAGTGGCAATGCCAACATCAAGAGAAGTGGAGCACTTTTTCCTAAGAAAATTTCAAACACTAATTAGAGGTTTAGTACCAGGAATATAGGACCTATATAAATTTTTTGAAAAAAAAAAGAACAAAACCAAAACACTGTTTTAAAGTAGATATTTACAACAAAGCATGACTTCTATAACAATTACTTCGAATCATCTGATCATGAATTTCCTCTTCTATTATAAATAGCTAAGTAAGATAAATTCTTGAGTTCCTTTTAGTTTTAGAGATCAATGACGCTAAGACAGTTAAATCATAGTTCTTTGCTCACTTGTTTAAAGGGCAAAACCTAATGAAATATCTACCTATCAGCATAACAAAAGACTACAATCATTTATAATCATCACTAGAAAAACATAATTTCCACATACAAACTAGCCCAAGCATTTTGCCTAATCAAGAACACTCCGAGTAACACCAAAAAAATTAAAAAGTAGAAAAAAGAAAAGAAATGGTTTAGTATTCTTAATAAGCATAAATGATATTCAGGTGCCTTAAGCCATTTTATGTTATTACAACAATCTCAGAAAGAATGAGTTTATACAGCTTTTTAGCTTCTCCAGAAAAATCTCATTCATGCTATATCATCTTTACCCTAAAGATTTTGCCCTAGTAGATTAATGTCAAAATAAAATTGTGAACACAGTGAGTGACAAAGATTATTAATTCAAAATATGTTAATTCATAAAAAGTAAACTCATTTATTTAACAAACAGGTTACATTTCCATCACATTTAAAAGTCCTCCAACATTAGCATAATCCCTCTTCGCCCCCCAAAAATCAACTCTCACACACAACCCTAAGCCCTAGACTTTTTTCACTAAAAGACATTATAACTTATTAGAAGGTATTTAGTTAGATAAACTGAGGAAGAAGAAAATCAGATACATCAAGAACATCCCGCATTATAAAAACGCAAGTTTTTAAGGACACAAGGGAAAGGTAAATCAAAGAGCCAACTTGAAAGATAAGTTGCAGTCAAGTTGTCCAGTTTACTAGTAAAATACATAATTTATTTTATACCAATAATGATCAACCAGAACAAACTGAATTTGTACAAGGAAACTAGTTTCTCCTCAAAAGAGAAAAATTAATTCACAGTATACAAAATAATTGTAATATAAATGACTACTGTATACAGAGAGTATATTTAACTTTTTCATTGACTTTTGTAAATCAGTGTTTCCATTTGGGGCTTTTTTGTAATGGATATATGTATTTATAAATATAGATAAATTTATTTCTATCTTGGTAAACAGAAGTGAAAGAACTAAAAAATGCAATAAGTTCTGGGAATGGTAGAAATATTACTATAAACATTAAAGACTAATTAGTTCAGTAACTGTACAAAAGATAGAAGAGAGGCCCAGCAATTGAGTAGCATTGGTAGACATATATAATAACCACTTAAAAGAAGATTAAGTGAATAACCACTTAAAAGAAGATTAAGTTGAAAAGAAGTACAACTAATGCTGAATTTCCTAGTAGATGAACAACTGCCATTACATTTTAACTACAAATAATAATAAAGTATTAACACCAAAAGGCCAAATCACACATGTCATAATGAACAGACAGTGGTTCACATACACATTACTTATGGAAAATTTGAGGACATAATTCCTATGCAAAACACCAAATCTGCAAAACTGATAGATGAATCACAGCAGTAATAACAAAATGTTACTCAGCAAGATAACACTGCATGTAACAAGGTCTCTGTTTCCCACAAAGGTGAACAACCCAACCCAAATCTACAACCTAGACTGCCCTCTGATAATATATTTCTTTTTATACTACATCTAGTCATATTACTAAACCCCAGGGAGTTTTTGAAAAATGTTTAAAATAGTCAATTCCCTCATCACCTATTCTGCCCCTCTCCAACAACAACAAAAAGTTTCTGGATTTGCATGTTAATAATAATAAGCATACTAGCATAATGAGAGAATGAAACATTTTCATATCCCTTGCCTACTCACGATACTTTCTAGGACCAAGTAGCTTGCCCAAACTGTTTGCTCTACTACTCCGTAAGGAAAGCTGGAAGGGAAAGGAATTTAGTGATAAACCAAGATGCCACCTTCCCAGCAATCTTGTATACCCTGCTTTAAAGTGGTCAAATTAGGTGCAAGCCCCAGGACCTGTCTGATAAGAGCTGCAGAGGTGCTTATAATAACTTCTTTCTCTTCAAAGTCACATAAGATTCAAAAATGAAATAATACAATTTCCTATACCATATTTATATCTGGTATATATGCATTAAATATTAATATAAACATATATTAATACATCAATACAGCTCAATTCAATCCTATGGTTAAGTATTAATATTTATTACAACAAAAGTATGAATTTTAAAGAAATAGGTTTAATATAATACTCTCAACTGTACCATAGTAGAATTAAGAGGCGGAAAGTCAGTAGATGAAAAAGAAAAGGCCTAACATTATGAACTCCTTGGTTAAGTTAGAAAGCTTCTTTGTTTTGTATATCACAAAGCCTTTACACTGTGCCCCAGCAGGTTTTCTCCTACAACTTCCTGCTGGCTCCCAAAGGACTTTATCAGCACATTTATCATTGCACCAAGTGTTTATTAATCAACCAGTATCTCTCATCGGCACTTGGAAGGCAGAATTAGGGGTTTGTTTCAATCCTAAACCATACATGATAAATAGTAAGGGAAAAATCAGTTTTTGAAGTAAATGGACTGTTAGGATATTAGATGTTGCCACTTGGATTTTATTTTGTTTTTATCAAAAGCCATACTGGTAGCCCAGATAGTACTATTATTTCCAAGCCTTGTCTTCTTCTATATTCCAGGACTGGTACCATAAATGCAAACTTTTTATAAAGCAAAGCACAAAATAAGAGTTCCTTCTCCCGATCCTTACAGTGATATTACCAAGGTTTTGTAGCACAACTATGCAATACTTATACTTCAGGTATTAGACTGACAATGAAGAGAATGTAAACACTGAAAAATTTCAGAGAGCTCATAAATAATTTATAAAAAAATTCACGTGCTAAGAGACAACCTTATGAGCTGCAAATCAAAAGCCAGCCCCCACTATACATCACCTGCTCTTTTATCTTTTCAACAACGGTCAGGAATTCAGTTTTCAGTAATATTAAAAAGACAACAAAACATTTTTCTCTTTTCCTTCCACACACTATTCTGGATGTTTAAAGAATTTAGTATGATAAACATTCACCTTCCCACAAAAATTTCATTATACAGTTTGGAGGGGGGCATTTGTTTTGTATTACTGCTATCTCAATTACATACAGTAGTAATCCTGAAAATATTATTCCCTCATCTGAGGAAGCATTATATTCACTGAAAGACATGCATATCATTTAAAGTATATATACTCACTAAAGAAAAAGAAAAATGAAAAGGAAGGAATCATCTGTTGATTTCTCAAAAAAAAAAAAAAACATCAAATGGTATGTTTGGGATCACACTAAATTCATAAGCCAATTTCAGAAGAAATGGTCTGTTTTTGTTTAGTTTAGTTTTATTTTTTATTATCACATTATTGTTGTACTGAGGATACATTGTGACATTTACAAAATATATCATACTGGAATTCATCCACTCCATCATTCTCCTTAATTCCCTTTCCCCCATTCCTAGAATAGTTTCAACAGGTGTCATTTTTCCATTTTCATACATGAGTACATAATATTTCTACCATATTCACCCTTCTACACCATTTCCTTATACTCTTCCCCTTCCCAATGGTGCCAACCCCTAGCTAGGACATTTTACTTTCCTGTTCTATGTTTTTGGAAAAAGGGATTTTTATTTGTTTAAGATAGCTACACAGAGAGATTCCTTGTGACATTTCCATACATACATACATATATATATATATATATATATATATATATATGTATGTATGTATGTGTTGTCACTCAAATTGGTTCATGTCTTCTATTTTTCTCCATTCTACCTTCAGTCCCCCTTCTTATGGTGATTTCCACCAGTTTAAAAATTCTACATTCATTCTTGTACAAAAGTACATAAACCATACCCATCTTCTAAACTTCCTTTTTTACCCTCCCTCTTCCATTAGTGACCTCCCCATAGAGTGATCTGTTTTTCATAATATTGCTTGTAATTGTATTGGATCTATATTTCATATATGAGAGAAAACATGCAGACTTTGGCTTTCTCAACCTGACTAACTTCACTTATGAAGATGTTCTCCAGTTCCATCCATTTACTTGCAAAGGACAAAATTTCATTCTTCTTTACTGTTGGATAAAACTCCATTGTATATAATTACATTTTCCTTATCTATTCATCAGCAGCAGGCATTGTGGCTCTTTCCATAGCTTAGCTATTGAGAATGACGCTTCAATAAGCATGGGTACGTGCGGGTGTCTGTATAGTAACTTGACTTACATTCCTTTGGATACATCCTTAGGACTGCTATTGTTGGATCATACAGCAAGAACTGCCTTGATTTTCAACATTTGGTGTTCCAATTAGTGAAACAGTATATATTTAAAAATAATTAAGCATATTTTAGTCAACGATAATATTACTTTCCCCATTTACCTATTTATTTTGGGGGAGGGCATGCTAGGGATCAAAACTAGGACCTCACACATGCTGGATAAGCACTCTATCACTGAACTATCCCAATCCAACAATTTCCTTCCTGAAAAGTGCCTCCACATTTCTTGCTAGATTTATTCCTGGTATGTAATCTTGTTTCATTATAAATGGTATCCTATTAAATTTTCACTTTTTTTCTTGTATATAGAAA